AACTTGTGACGTTGAAATTTAGAATCATATTTTAAATCGACCGTAGTTATAATTAAAACTGTTCATAGAACAAATACAGAGATTATTCGAAAATTAAGCGATCAAAAAGGTAAATTGAAAATGCAGAAAATGTATACAATCTTCGTCGAATGCGCGGGTCTTATAGAATAGGTCTTGGTTAACACGTCTGTCCATTACTGACTGTTTCTACTTACCCTAAACAGGAAGACGTACACTACCTTTCATAAGTATTAGAATACCTGGTCTATACATATAAAGGAAAACTAATATTTCCTATAAGTATATCAAAAGCTATTTTCAATGAACATTTATTGTAAAATAAACTAAATCGACGCTGGCGAACGTAGGAGCCGCTGTGTCCACCAAAAATGGCGGCGCCGTTTAATGCTGCTCGCTGGTCGGGTCGGTTACACGAATAATGGATTGCCATTAAAGCGTCCGGATTAAAGAGGAAAGGATGAGGCAGCCACGCATCGACGTCGCTGACTCATTAACAGAAGAAATTTGTGCCCGCATTAAAAGTCAATCGAGGGAAAACACGGTGTATTTCATGGGACCCGCGAGACAGACGACGGGGACAGGGAGGGGGTTTTCGCTTGGAAATAAACGATCGAACCCGAGCGTCGTCCTGTGTCGCCGTGTAATTTTCGAAATTATTTATCAACCGGCCTTCCCGGCACCGTCGTCGTCATTAATTTCTGGTCGGTTAATGACTCGCGTCTACGTAATTAAACGCGTCGTTCCTTCAACCCTCGATCGGCCATTCCCTCCGCGATCTAATGGGAGAAACGGAGCGATTTTCACGCGAAATAATGCATTTGATATTCTATTGTGGTTTTAGACAAATATAGTTCTAGAAAAAACGTTATATTATACGAATTTTTGTTTAATCGACGTTCAAAAGTTAGGAGATCTTGTCCATAGAAATCTTGACAATGTAGCATATCTTCACACGAATAAATTAGGACGTTTCGATCGTAGAATCAGATCAGACGTTACACTTGTCGATAGATTACATAAACATCCACGGTCTACTTATCAGAAACATGTAACATTGCAGATTCCGATCGCTATAATTGCCACAAAAAATACTGCATCGAAGACGGGACCCTTACTATAACTACAGAAAGATACCGACAGATTAAATTCCGATTCTCCAAGTGAACACCCAATACAGCTCTAAACACAAAGAAAATTCATCAACAGAGCATTAAGTGTCTACGAAAGAATTTTATACCTTCGAAAAATTTTACTCTTGTCTGGAAAATAAGCTGGAAAGAATCGAGATGGGAAAAGGAAAACGAACGAACCAGGCAACGAAAGGGAAAATCTGTTACGAAATTTTCAATCTCGCGTCTGACGCGTATGTGTGCATACGTATACATATATACATGCGTGTGTATACATATGCGCCTAGAGCTGCATTATGCAGCTGCTCAGCCGGTGAAGTAGTCGTATAAGCCAGCCAGGGAGTTCAACGACCGGTATAAATTAAAGCGGCGCTTGGATTTCAATGCCACGGCCTTGCTCAAGGCCGCCGGTACTCGTAGAAAATCAACGGTACACTCGTGGCCGTGTTTGTAACAATAAATTGTACAAACATGTATACACACGGGAGACACACGTATACAAGACGATTACGGGCTGTAACGTTTCCACGGTGGAACCACTGTGCATCGTGTTGGGTTCGTGGTGGTGGGGGTTCGGAGAAGAATTTTCGTATATCGATCTGCGGCTTGAATCAACTGAAAGACACGTAATGCGGGAGAACATGGCCGACTCGAGAGTCGTATTAAAGCCGATGTAGGAATCGCTCGAGTCACGCGTTAGTTCGTATTTATGGTCTTCGTAATGGTGCATTTTTAGTTCGTTGTTTCGAGTGGAAGTTGTTTCCAGTTTCGTTGCTTTTGCAGTTAATTTAAGCGATATAAGTGGACGGGAAAAGTTGTAGAACGCAGTGATAGATGATAAATAATGAATTGTAGCTGCTGGTCTGATGCGTTTATTGCCGGTGGAATTGCGTGAAATGCACGATGGAATAAACGTTTTGGTAAAGTTTCCCTCGATTCTCATTCCGTTTTTAATGTAACTGATCCCTCGAAATGGAGTTCTCTGTTTATTTCTCGTGTTTGTAAAACAGTTTTCTGGATAATGTTTCGAACATTTTTTTAGTTGTACGCTATGATATCGTGGTGGTGTTTCGGACAAGTAGAAACCGTCGATAATGGTCGGACACGGATCTTCGACAATTATACTATACTGATCTGGTAATTACAGAGTCCTGTAAATGGGAATTCATAAAACATTCAAACCCTTAATGATTCAGGTTCTCCATGAAAATTACCAGATGTCCTTTGAGTGTCCCTAGACCCTTTATACAACTAGCACTTCCTCTCTTCGCTGGTCTCCATTAACACTAGGTGTTCTAGTACTTGCTTGGAGTGTTCGTCGATAAACGTACGTCTATTTCTATCGGATCGATAAACATGACAAACTTTTGAAAATACGGAAATTCAATATAATCTCGAAATGTATACTACCTAGAGTGGGGGTCATCGGTAATCCCGACGGTATTCAACGTGTTAAAAAATTAATGTCAGCAACGTGGCATTTCATTTCGACTCAAAAAAAACAGAATAATATTCTTTTATGTTGAAACGATTTTGAAATCGTCAACACGAGTCTGACTCGATGTTATAGGACAAGGGGTTAATCTACGATAAGACGACCAGTTAATGAATTACATAATGTAACCGCAGTTACGATCCCATCGTAATTGTTACTCGCGACAAAAGCAGGGTGGAAAAGAGTTTAATGGAAAATTGTCGGCGGTTTATGAAAATTAGAAAGTATATCGACGTTCCGCGGGCATTACTGCCGGAGCCGGACAGCGGTGGGCCGAACTACATTATCATAACGAGTTCTTAGCTTCTGCAATTTACCCCTGGGCTGCTACTTCCTGCTCGCCGTGTGCGCGCGCGCAACGCTTCGATGCTCGCGTACGCTCGCGCGACCGACCGACGTGGATAATTATTATTATTGTCGATGCGACTTAATACTTTAATTATTGCTTGGGCCCATAGGTGAACGCGCGCCGCCGCCCCATGATAATCCTAATTAACGAAGACGATTTAATTATCGGGTTGGCTCACGGTGAAGCCTGTAATTGTTATTGTAGGAAAGAATAATATCGTACGATCTTTGAATTTTATTGGACTGTTAATAGAATCTTCGCCGGACTTGTTTCTCTCCGTGAGCTCCGCCTGTGCTATTGAAACATCATTTATAGGGTATTCCAGGTCAAGTAGCACGTTCCTATTGTCATCGTGCATATGGTGATTTTATTGTTTTCTACCAGAAAAGGTATCCAAAGACAATTCGTCGCTCTAGTTCTTATGTGTTCTATCTCCACTAGTTTAGGAACTGAGGAAACTGTGGTTGAAGTTTCCTTACGAAGTTTAATACGATATTATTAAAGTAGGAAAACAGTGAAATAATCAGAGAGACTATAATATCATCTACTGAATTGCTGTTTATTACAGTATTTAAAAAAATTATAAGTTTTTGAGTTAGAACTTAAAAGAATATTTGTTGTTTTCTAGGTTGAATTTGCTTTATTTTATGGTGAAATTGTACTTTTTGAACCAATGAGACGTACGTAGATTGATTAACTAAATTTTTGGAAAAATGGAGTTAGAACGGTTACGAACTCGGGCGACGAATTATAATTTTATGTCGATTGAATACTAGCTCCTCCACACGCGCGCTGCCAGTTTCCCCTGATTAAATAATTTAAAGCTTCGAGCCTGTTCTCGGTCCACGCGAATAATAATGGCGGGCAATTTATTTTCAGTCAGTCGGTTCTATTATTTAAACCTGTTTTCGTGTGTACCTCGCTGTTACCCCTCTTCGCCACACTTTTGCACTCCAACCTGATTCGGTTTCTTTTTCACTTGTGTACGTAACGAGAGCAAAATATTTCGATAACACCCGTGACCGTTTAATTTTTCGTGAATTCGCAAATATCCTTCGACGACTCATGCACGCCATTCTATCTACTGTCGTCGTTGTTACGCGGATAATTGATTAATTAACTCGTATCATCCAGGGAATGGCGCGAATCTCTGTAAACCAACGAGTCGACGCGACTATATGCGACAGTCTCGATATCCACGGACACAAAGACGCAGTGTACCTGCAAAGGAAGAAAAAAATAACGCTCGACAAAGTCGACGTAACGGCGCGTTACCAATCGCGGCGAGCCGGTTCAATTGATTTATCGATTATTTCGATAACGGGGATGGTGGAGAGAGCGTGTTCCTATCGTAATTTTCATTTTTAACAACGCAACGACCGGAGTTTCGCGCGAACCCCGCTGTTTAAATTTGATGAAGGTATCAGTCGATCGACGTGCCCACCTCCTCTGTCGTAATTATTCGAGCTATAGCGAGTCCCTGGCTTCGTTACGGACGAATGTGTAATTATTGGCGGTATTAAAAGGCATAACGCTTGAACAAACGTTCGAGAAATAATTCTGTTCGATCGATGTCAGTGTTCTTGAAATTGGTAAACATTGATATAATCATTAACCCACTCATTGCATCTTCTTGGTGTCTAATGCAAGAATTTTTGTTCACAAAATCAGGAACTAATATAGTCATTGTAAGAGTATGTAAAATATTGAACAATTTGCTTTTATAAGCAATAGGTTTATAAAGTAGTAATTCCGAAGACTGTAGACACCAAGAAAATCGTGCGAGGCAAGGGGTTAATTTGACAACCATGATAATGGATACTCTATAGAAACTACTTTGTTCTTTGTCTCTCGTTTACGCCCGAATCCGATACTATTTTGTTGCGTAAGCAGTGGGGGTGATACACAGTCAAAGTCAGTGTGTTTCGGAATGAAATCGATGACACGACGAGGTCTCGTATTCGAGGGGATAATTGGACGAGCCTCGTTTTGGTTTCTATTACAGCGTATTGGCCGCGGGGCGACAGTGCAGCATCGTCGCTTTTCGGCGGGATGCCCGGTGGATATGGGCTGGGGGCCCATCATTTGCCATCGGCTTACGCCATCCTGGGCCGAGGTGGCTCTGCTCCCGGTTTTGGGGGCCACACGCCTGCGTCCGCGCCACCGCCACCCCCATACTCACACAGCAGCCTTGGCACTTTGAGCGTGGCCGCCAGTCAAGCCGCGAGTTTAGGTAATCGTCATTACCCCTTTTTTCAATAATCTCATTATTCGCAGGCTTGCATTATTCGCGTAGTTATTTGACCGTTTACGCACTGTCAATTGGTCGCTGGTGACTTAAGTTGTCAACGACTATGAGGTGGATACGAATACACGAGATTTAATCGAATGTTTTTATTTACTTCAAAAAATATTTATTTGTTCATCAATATGGCCCCCTTCTAATTAGTCCCCATCGAGTACACTACAATAGCGATTTTTTCAATCCTTAAGACACTATGGAAACACACTTTTCAGTATAGCCTTCAGCACCTTCACCTATTTTGTTCTGAAAAATTGTCAACAAAAGTTTGTCAAACACTGCATTGTAGTGATGCCTCAATCACCGTATTCGCCGGACGTGACTTTTTCTGTTACCAAAGATGAAGAGAACAATGAAAGGACAATAGAGTAGATCAAGTCAAATAGCTGAATGAGCTGAAGGCTATATCGAAAAGTGCGTTAGGAAGTGTTTTGAGGATTGGAAAAAACGCCGATACGGGCTACTTTGAAATATTCACCATATGAATACTGTAGAATAAATAAATATATTTATTTTTGAATATAAGTACATTATTTTTAGAATCTATTTATATTTGACTGACTTATTTTTCAACAATGACATCGTTACGTTTCGATTCAGGAATTAATCCCGCGAGCGCGGCATGGTGGACGATGGCCTCGCACCTGGCGGCACAGGACTACCTCGCGAGGTTACAAGGAGCGGCAGGACTACCCGGGTTTCCGCCTGGCGCCGAGAGCCTCCTGCCGCCCTATCCTGCCTCTCTACTTAATCCCCCGTCCCTTTCGTCCCACAAGTCTAGTAAGTGTAAGTATCATTTACCATCGTCTACTTTTCTCGATTCTGTGTCCCATTTAATGTTGCTCGAGATCAAATAATACAACCATTAGGAGCCTTCGAACACTCATACAGGATTTACCGTATAACACCGTAGAAGTTGAGAATTTCGTGGACACAAGGAATCGTTTGCTTGTACAAGTTAAAAATCCAAGTGTTATCTGTTTGTGAAATATCACAGCTAAGTCAAGCAAAAGTCACAAAGCTGCTGCGGCGGCTGCAGCAGCGGCAGCGGCGAACAGCAGTAGCAGCAGCAGCAGCAGCTCGACGACGCCGAGCATCATGACGAGCAGCAGTATGCCGGTCTCGACGCAGGCACCGGTCACGTCCTCTCATCACAGCACATCGGCCAGCAGCACGACGAATTCGCAAACGAACGTCGTCAGGTGGGTAAAGAGGGAGTCTCCCAAGCCCTGGTGGCCGCTCGTTAAACCGAGCGATTTTCCTCATTCCCTCTCCATTATTTTTTAACGGATTCACGCTGCACTTACGTCTCCCATTAATTATTTTTCCATGCTTACCGATACACAACCTGCAGTTCAGCGAAAGAGGGCAGGTGAGACAGAGAGATCGTTAAGAATGAAAGAAAGAAGGAAAACTCATACGTGCAGCATCACGAATAAAAATGGGAAAAGGGTTGCTCGGTGGGCGGATCGATATTTCCCTCGCAACAATTTCTCTCCGTGAACCTCTGTATTATCGTTTCCCTTCCGCGTCTCTGTACACCCTCGGTCATTTAACTTTCATGCACCGCTCGTGACCGTGTAATTCCGTTGTTACGATTGTTCGATGGCCCTTAACGTTGCCGCCGCTTTAAACAATTTGTCTTTCGTACGGTTACGCCGCCGGCCCCAGTAGGATTTCATATTCCAACGGAGAAAAATAATAGCGAGAGAAACTCCACGCAACGGGTAAACCTGAACCAGAATGTACAGTTTTTGGAGATTGATTACTCGAGGACGGTGGATCTAAAATGTGCTTAGAATAGATCAATGATAGATTGCTGTAAAATTTCTATATTTTAATTTACCTATTAAGTTGATGAAATTCTTAAGTAAGAGTAGAATGTAAATACTTTTATCAAACGCTAGAAATTACGTCACTTTATTTGTCTCTACGAACCAGTCACAAAAAAGGTGTGATTTTACACAAAGATCCGCAGTCTAATACTAGGGCAATAATATCGTGTTCTCGATTCTCTTCGAGAAAGGGTTCACGATAAAGGTCCCCAACGGGATTCAAAGACTCAAAGAACTTGCGACGGATTAATTAAAACGAAATGAAATTCATTTTATTCAGCGATCCTAGCAGTATACTTGGAGGTGTTCGGCTGCCTCCCGACACAGAGATCATCAAGTACACGTCGAGCATAGTCGGTCCAAAGGTTCCTGGCACAACGAACCGCGGCAGAAAGAAGACCATATCCTTGGACACGCCGAGCGTGAGCGTCCATCCGCCTCCGGTACCTGCTCTAAGCGCTCATCAAACGAACACGACGACAGCGTCGTTGATGATGGAACCCAGAAAGTACAACCGTTCAGGGGTAATTCTCTTTTCTACGTTATACGACCCCTTGAAAACACGACTTTAACCCTTTCTGCTCGATTCCATTTGGAATCACTAACTTAGCGTTTATAGCTCATACTATCATCCTAAAGATTCCATATGGCATAGTTAATTAATCAGTTAAGTGGTGTAATAAATAATTCAGAGCAGAAAGGGTTAACCGCGTTCGAATACGTTTTCACTAGGGATGGATTTCTCGAAATTTCGAAACACATCGAAACCCAAGAAAGTTTTGAGTTTCGAGAATTCATAAATGAAAACATAAATGTTCTTTTTACGTTTTGTTTAGCTATAGTCAATGAAGATTTATGTAAAAAAAATTATTGAGACTTCAGTTCTTAAAACAGAATAATCCTCTTACTAAACAAAATCAGCACTTCAAGTTTCGAGAGTTTCCAAATCTTACAAAGTTTCCGATTTGAGTTCCGAGAATTTCAAAGTTAGGTTCCAACCTACCCCTAATTTTCACGATTGTCCCTGGTAATATCATAAATAAAAAAGTGCAAGAAACAAAATAAAAGAATGATACTTGTTCATAACAGCTCATTTTCGTAACATTGGTGCTCGTTGTTTTTTCAGACCGAATCGAACGACTACAGAGAACCGGTAGATCGTGTAGAAGTGATTAAGCTACCGGCACACTCGACCAACGGTTCCGTATTACCGGCGCCGACGTCGTACACGACTACAAACGCGAACAGTTCGAACGATTCGGACGCGCCGCTGAATCTCTCCCTGAAACCCGCGACGACGAGCAGTAGCTCGCCGATCTCCAGCAGTCAGCCTCTCAGTCAGCTCAGCAATCTGAGCCAGTCGTTACTAGCCTCCGATCGAACATGTGAGTAAACACGAGAGTCCACGTATCACTTTTCATCGTTCTGCATATAAAACCTATCCCACTAAAATGTGTTCATCGTGGACGTGTCACCTAACTAACAAAGAACTTGAAAATCGGGTCTGCACTTGACGATCTTGTGCAAACAAAAGGAAACACTTAGAAGTGTTTCTGTCAGTATAGGTGCTATGAAGCAGAGATGTGCAAATTCATTATCTACACTATCGGCCAAAAGTACGTGGCCAGATCTGATAATTAAAGAAGGAGAAAAATATTATTCTACAAAGATTTGATAAAAGTAATATGCTAAAACTGATAGGAAATGATTTGTATATGCACTGATTCCGTGAATTTTATTATATCGTAACGGAATAATGAGTTACTGTTTCATCAGGCATGAGCTTTGGTCCCATACTTTTAGTGGATAGTGTAGGTAAAGAGTTTCGAACAACGAATAAAGGATAAACAAGTGTTTAAGGTTTAGTGGAAATTTCAATTTTTATTATAATATCTCTTCTTGAATGAGTAGACACTTGGGAAATAATTATTTAATTACATGAACTGTTTAAAAGTCAGGATGCCGGTCTTAGATACTGCTGCTTTTCACTATGTATCATTTGAACAAAATTATGCCCAATTCAGCTATGAAAAATCTGATTCACCGTACATTTATCATAGTCCATCGTACTGATCTGTCAAGTGTAGACCCGATTTAACACTAGAGCTACCGAACCACTCGTGAGGTAATTTGGAACAAGTTTTTCCATAATAAAAATATCATCCCAGGCATTCTTAACGAGATATTACCGAAAAACCCCGACCAATGAGACCACAAGAGCTCGGCCGGCGGACTCAGGCTCTGATTGGTCGGGATTTTTCGTTAATATCATTAACAAAGCCTCGGATAACATTTTCGCTAAGGAAAAACTTGTTCTAAATCACCTAACGAGTGACCCATTACAAGTTGGACCTACAACACTGTTGTTACACCCTGTATGTTACACAATGCTGGTAGTTCTAGTGTTAACCCTCATCCGTCCCTTGTGTCAATTTACCACGGTTTTCTCCTGAAAAACGCCGTTATTCTGTCATGTATATGTAAATTTAGCTGAGGCTTTGTGATTTTTATTGTAAAGAATTTACAAATTTAACTATTTATCGCTTCATTGTATTAATTTTTACACCGAGGGACAAATTAAGTGGGGAAAATGAGGGACAGACGAGGGTTAAAGTTTCAAATTTCCTTCACAATCACCCGTTCCTCGCGCGAACATCGAGTCCCATCCAAAAAGACGTTCATCGCGATCGCGACTTCTACCGCTGAAAAATACAACTTCTAAAGATACTGTGTCGTTCCTCCACTCCATTCAGTCCCCTTTGAAATGGAAAAATTTGATTCGCGACCCGCAGCGAGGCGAAAACCGGGCCCGAAACCGCGACGGGTGCCGCAAAACTCGGTGCCGGTGCCTGCGTCTCCTAGTCCATCGTTGGCGCAGCTGTTTGCTGCCGCGGACTCGCCGCAACGGCCGAGCAGCGGCAGCGAGGAGAGCGAAAGCGCGAGCACCACCCATCACAAGGACGGCAGACCGAGAAACCTGGGTCGTGGCGTGTCAAAACCGAAGAAGAACACGGTCGCCTCGCTGCTGGCTCAGAGCAGAGCCTTGGGTATCAAGCCTACGCCCACCTTGGACCCGAGCGTGCCATTGTCCCACCAAGTCTCATTGCTGAGGTCGAACATCCTCGCCGCTCAGCTGCACGCCTCCGCGACCGGCCAGGGGGACGACAAGAATCAGGTAAAGCTGAGACTTCACTCGTGCAGGATTTATTCAGTTCTTTTCGAATGTTCAGTATACTTTATAACAATTTTTTCTTCCATCTTTTTCTTCATCCAAACAAACAATTTTTCCTTCATCCGACTTGTTAATGTCGTTGATTTGATTTCTGAAGAATTTTGATTTTTTTTCGAAAGGGGGGGGGGGGCAACACCAACGAAGAAAGAAGAGACCGAGGGGGCCCGATCGGTTTCGCGTTTGTTTGTTTTTTTCATTTATGATTTCGCACTAAAACCATGCTCCCTATATAGCGGTCTTTGCAGGAGAAGATGAAGAACAAGCTGCTCGAGGTGTCCGGCGAGGAGAGCAACATGGACGTGACTAGCGAAAGCGGTAGTAACACCGACGCGGTGACGGACACCGACGACGACAACACGGACGGTGTGTCGAGCGCGAAGAGAAGAAAGGTGAAACCCAGCGAGAGGGATCTTCAGGTGCCTCTGGACCGTGGTTGGAAACGGGAGACGGTGATCAAGGGATTAGGAAAATCAGGGGTGATAAAGGGTGACGTGTCTTACTATAGTCCTTGCGGAAAGACGTTCAGGAGCAGTCCGGATCTGGCGAAGGTTGGTCCACGTGTTAGGAAAATTAACCTTGCTTTGATATTACGATTGAAATTAAACTATACCGCGTGATCTGTTCGAAATGTCGGGGAAAATGTTGATGTAATAAATTAACACGTTGACTGCCACAGTGGAAAGGGCAGTATGTAATCAGACACACTTTATTTCATTTTTTAATCTTTGAAAATATATACGTTTGATTAATAGAGTTTGCTTGTCATGTTTGCAATGTTTCAACTACGAGTTATCTCATAGCTGACAGTCAACGTGTTAAATGACGATTGAATCGCTTGAATTGTATGATGTTCTTTACTCTAGTTTTTGGAGCAACAGAATCCGCCGGAGTTGACGACGGCGAACTTTTCGTTCTCGTCCCGTCCTTTGGTGGGTGAGTTTCTGCAGCCGACGATGGGCCTCGCGGAGGCGGAATTCGTTAGGCTGGGCGCTCAGGAAGTGGCCAGGAGATTGGAGGAGCTCAGGGCCGCGGGTGGCTTCAGGGACGTGCGGGTGAACAATCAGTACGAACGGGAGAAGCTCGCGTACGCGAAGAAATTGGCGAAGGAGGAGGCGCAGCGGCACAAGGAGCAGGCTAGGTCGGTTTGAACATTTCTATGAGACTATAAATAACATTAATGGGAAGTAGAACAGTTAAAGGATGGTCATATATAGACTGATTAAACTTTCTTGCAGAAAACAAAGATCAAAGCAGGCTCTGTAGTTACGATTTTTTTTTAACAAATGGCTAAGTTCGATCCTCGCATTAATTAGAGTACAAAGCGCTCCAAAAATCTATGTTCACTTTTTTAAAATTATTTTCAATTTATTATTTTCGTACGAATTATTGTTATAGACTGATCAAGGAACAGGAGAAATCGGAGCGTCAGGAGGCGGTCAGACGGGAGCGGGAGATACGAAATCAGCAGCTACTCGAGGTAAGTTGACGCTCACACGATCGTGTCTCTTCCTTTTTTCACGTTTTATTGTCTGGATTCTCGTTGTTTCGTTCACAAGGAATCTGTTCTCTTACTCTATTTGGGATACCTACTACGTTTTTTGTATTTTTGTCCACCTGTCGTGCGTGTCGCATGCTCTCTGTGTGTGTCGTATTTATATTATACATACATATATATATTATTCATATTCTATATACGTATTATATATATAAATCTATTTGTAAATTTTATATATATATACATATTCCCTCCAGTGAATATGCTTATAACCCGGATACATTTGTATACTCGGATATATATATATAACCCCTTAACTCTCTTTTGATTTTGGTCCCCGATTCAGTACAGTTTTCTTTGCTTTCTTTAGTTCGTTCTCTTACTCATCCCCTCCCCCCTCAGTGAGTCGAACGTCACTTTTAGTCGTTTAACGGAGATTGTTTTGTGGCTGCATCTCGCTTCCGGGCCCTCTCTCACTCGGCGTGAACCGACGCGACCGAGCGAGGGACCCGGCGATCGTTCGGTTTTCTCGAACCGACCGGATGAACCGTGGCGGCTTCCATGGAGAAAAAGAGAGAAAGAGTGAGAGAGTGAAAGAGAAGAAATTGTTGAGAGAATCGAGGTCACCGTGTGTCATTCACGCGTCTGGCTCGTCGAATCACTACAATCGAATGACGCATATTTTACAATTTAGATCTGCACGATTTTCTGTAAATTATTTAGACTAGATTGCGATGGAGTAATTTTAAGGATTTGTTCGATGATCGTTTTCTGTTGGAGGGAAAGTTTGTGATATGGAAAAACACACACGCGGCCTCGATCCTCTCGTTGAAAAAAAAATAATTTCCGCTAACGAGAGTCGAAATTTGTTGCTCGAAGTCTTGTTATAGTCGTGTGAACTCGATGCCTAATAGCTCCCTCCGACGCTTTTTATGTGCGCTGTAGACCAGTCTCAGTGTACCCGGTTATGCCGTGGCATTATCCCCATCACTTAGTTTCATAGATAAAGGCGAATGATCGTGTGAGAAGTTTAGAACCGACGCGATTAGAACAACGAGAACTGGACGACGACGGTTCGTTGCTCTTCGTGAACGACGCAACGAACACGTTCTTTGCATATATCCAGTGTACTCGCTATCGACCAAGCGTGCTCCGAATCAGTCCAAATTACCTGAACCCGGACTATCGAGAAATCAGAATTAAAAAATTTGTATCGATCGTCAAACTAATCGGAGCACGCGGTTCTAAAAGCACGAAAATGCCTTGCCCGGAAATCTTCTCGGACTACTGCTCATCGCGAAAAGGAAAATTCATCTCGATTTCAACGAATCACCGTGAAAAAGTCGAGAATTTTCCCAGCAAGGCCGAAACCGAAGAAGCAGTAGATTGCGCGAATGTAGAAACTTTTTGATAGTCCGTCTCCATATATAGTAATAGTTTGTCCAAAAAGTATGCCCGATCGTGATCCCTTCGCCCGTTGCGAGACACACCGTTCCTCAACCAAGCCCCCCTTCAATCACTCTTCAATCACTGTCACTCGTTCGCTCATTCATCCCCGCGCATTCACTTGCATCCACCTTTCTCACACGCACTGAACATCACACGTGTGCCCCCCGTCCACGACCCCCCAGCCAACACCCCCCCCTTTTCTCTCTGAAAACATACACGCAAACACAGACCGCGCGGAACGAGACGTTAAAGGGAAGAACGTCAACCGATAAGAGACAGGGGAAAAAAAAGTGCAAAATGTAGATAGAAATTGGGTTAACCGGCTGGGACGAGACCGCAGGGATGCCCATTCCGCTGAATAATCGATCCTAATCGTTGATCCCGACTTTCCGTGAAGAAATACTTTTCATTCGGATTAGAAACGAACGTTTTGGTGAAATTGAACTGATTAGCGTAGAAACGATGGTTCGATCGCTTTGTGAGTTTGCACGGAGGCGCGCGGGTTATATTGGATCAGAATTATGGAATAGAAATTAATTTTTGTGACAATTGTCAGTGTATATTTAACACTTGTTAGTGTGTATTCGTATTTAAATATCGTCTCTAAGATTAAATATCCGCAGTTTCTATCAATGGTGTTGGCGTAATCAAACGCGGATGAAGTTTTGTCATGTCTAAGTAGATTCGTAAAATTGTGTTATAGACAGAGGAAAGTATGTCTATGAATTCCTCGAATATATTCGGTAAACGACTATTTCTAGAGCAAATGGATAATCAGATTTCTTATCTGTTACTGTTTCCGATATAATACTTTAAAAAGCATTCAAACTATAAAGTAGTATTTCTCAAATTCCCGCAAAGGACCAGCAAAAAGTAAGATCCCGTTGAGTCCAGCTTGCGCGCCTCTGTCGATTCACCGAAAGCGTCCGAACACGCACGAATACACGGCCAAGAAAAAAAAAAAGGTACCGTCTCGTCGAACTCTCTCCTCCTGAACTCGCAGCTTTTGAGCCCCTTAGTTTGTTCTCTTGCAACTTTCAGTTCGTTGCGAAGCTTGAAAAAGGCTCAGCCTATCCTCTTCACAGAGAGACCACGCCACGAATCCAACTACCACCACCACAACCACCACCACAACCACCACCACCACAACCTACTACTTCTACTCACCCGTGCTCTAAACAATTCGCAAGCGTCGTCGTCGTCCCCGACCAAAGGGCGTCGTCGCGTCGTAAAGAGCGACGGGTGGTATCACTCGCACGCGATCCGACACGTAACGAACAACCGTCGATTAACACGATCGATTATTGGGCATCCCTAAACCTACAAACGCAGGGTCGAAAGCGGCTCGCGTTCACGATCAAGCAGAAAATGAAGATCATCCAAGAGATCGAACGCGGCAAGAGCAAGAGCGACGTGGCGCGGGAGCTGGGTCTGGCCAGCAGCACGGTCGCCACCATCTGGAAGAATCGCGAGAGCATCGCCGAGAGCTGGAGGAATCGCGACATGATGCAACACACCGATCATCCGGATGACGGGAAAAAATCCTCGGCGATCATGTCGTCCGCGTCCTCGTGCGTCCTTGCCCCGTCTGTCACCACGCTGTCTGTCAACACGATGGTGCTCACAGCCTCGAACACCACCAGCACAGCATCGTCACCGTTACCGGCTGCTGTCGTGGTGGCACCGCCTCAGGTCCAGGTGGTACCGCCACCTCCGCCACCGCCACCACCCCTACCATTGACCACCATCTCGTCAACCACCACGGCCGTGTCCAACACACCGTTGCCGTTGACGCAGTCGCAACCGATCACGCAGTCCTCTACACCAACATCCAGCACCACGTCCACAGGCACCATCACCACCACCATCGCCAGCATGGACAATACCCAGCAGGCCCAGACCCAGACGCAAAGTCAGGAGCTTCTGGAGGTAAGATCGTCGTATGACGCCTCCTCAAACCAACCCCCCCCCCTCTCTGAAAGCCCATCCCCCTGCCCCAAGAGTCGGGCCCACGAACTTGTCCTTCGAGGGCGGGTCTTTTCGTTACCCCCTTTGGAGGTAGAAGAGTCACTGAATGGGGTGGACCATTGATGGGATTAGGGAAACAGGGATGGTTCCCCGGGGTGGTTGATGTTTGGACGATCTTTTTGCACGATGTTGCAAGACTGTAAATAATTTTATGGATTTCTGAATCGTATTAGATTAGCGCAGAAATATTTTTCAAAGACGAAACCTCGAGGAACGTTTCTCCTGCAGCATCCGCCATCATGGTCGCCCGTCATTCTGCTTATCCTCCCCCAGATAGATGATCTCTGGACGAATTGCCTTTCGAGGAATTTATCACCTCACCTTTTTTGCCTCTACAATCCTCCAGCCTCCCCCTAGCCCCACCTATAGTCGCGAATCGCTAACCCCCCACCCCATACATTGCCATCGAGACCTTCATCGACCTCATGCTCACTAATGGATGTTGACTGTTGTCCCTGTCATTCATTGGTCCACTGTTCCTCTTTCCGTCTCTTTTTTTTTTCTTCTGATTTCACGAGGACTGATTGTACGAAGGACCTCTCGAGGTAAGACTACGATTGCCTGGTTTTCTATGTTGTCCTTCATATTTTGCGAATCGTACAATTTTCCCGCCATACTCGTCATTCTTTTTTTTTGTTTTTTATAGTATCTCACATCAGTTTCATGTAGTATATGACCATATATAACATTTTGCTTTACCGATTACATCGTCATTTTACATTAGCCCATCACCAACCCCCCTGATCATCGACGCGATATTTAGTTCGTTTCACGGTTTCCCTTATTAGTTTCGTTTCTTCCTCTCAGTTTCTGCATACCAGACGAGAGAAAATATTTCTTTTTCCGCGCGTAATTCTTCCATACGCGACATTATTGTTTTCACGATTATGTTGCTCGTCCTGTCGAGGGAAGAAGTTCCGCGGTTCGCAAAAGCCAAACTCGCTGGCCCCGTATTTTACGCGTCCGTCGAAACGTCGAGAGATTCGGCGATTCGCGGTCGTAACTTTTTCTCTTCCACCAGTGGAATTATCTTTGCCCCTTTGTCGATACTTTTCCCGACGGCTTATGGAAATACGATAGATCGATGTACGAACGGATACACGGCACCGAAGCACCCAGTAGTTTTTCGCCACGTCAAAAACATTCAGCGCATCGTACGAAAGAGGACACCACACACGGAACCAAACACGCGCGCCACGCATAGTCGCACACGCGGTGCTTTTTCGTAGGATCTGAAAACGATGGGTGATACCACGTGAAAATGTCCCTGCTGGTCACCAAAACGAGATCCTTTCTCGAAACGCAACCAATGGAGCGAAATGAAATTAAATTCCGATGGGATACGCCGAATGAAAAGTAATGGATGGATCCATTCATCGGAATCATTTCATAATTAGAAATTTATTTTTATGTATTGCATACGTTAGTTTTGCAAAAGGTTCAAGTTCCTTTTATAAGTTCGTCTAAAAAATATGAATTCGTGTATGTATTGATAGTACACTAAAAGAAGAATTGAAATTGATGTCACCAGTTTCCTGGATAAAATTTACAAGCTTATTAATTGCATTTCGAAAATGGACCTCGGTTTGGATCGATCGGTAGAGGGACCGAATCGAGATGCGTTCATGTTCTTTCACACGAGACACTCAATATTCAGTGACTCATTCTCAGACTATTTTCTCGAAATTGCGAACGAATAAGAAAACTATACGGACTGAACACAGTTTTCGTATTTAGCTTCGCAATTTGAAGGATGTAAACCACGTGGACATCTGAGAATCAGTCTTCGGAATGTATCTATTGTGAAAAAAGCTGTAATGGGACTCGAGAGTCGAAATCATTGCGATCGAAGGCTGACACAATGTTTTAACATTGAAATTATCTGCGTATCAAGTACGAGGAATATAATCAGTAATTACCAACTGTCGTAACGCTATCCTGTGCTTCTCCTGTCACTATACAAAGAAATAACAGCTAGCTACATGATTATCCAGCATGCCGTAATTTTTTTCGAATTTCTGCGCGTGTTCCTACCCGATCGTGCGCAGGGGGAACACCTCTGACGTCGAGCATACGAAAGCGCTTTCTGTTGTTTTATTTATTTATTTATTTATTTATTTTTTTATTTTTTTAAAGTTCTTTTAACGCTCTACTTTCCGTTCTTCTCTGGCAATAATCAAGCAAAACGTCGCGGAAATATATTGTAATACGACTTAACCGATTGATCGTACCGCTCTATTATAATTATTATCGCTCTTATTACTGTTTGCGACTGTTATTAATATCATATTACACACCTTAATACCACGCCACGACCACACGTTATTCTCACAGCTGCTCAGACCTAATATACCATTTCTACAGGCTGACGCGCTCATGTGCTGTTAGTAAGACTACTCATCAGCTTCAGCGATTAATTATGATACACACTGACAATTATAATATGTGCATACCATAAAGGCGAGTATATTTGCTTGGCTCCTGCATGCGCTGATTAATATCTCTCACGTTTTTTACCAGTTCTACAGACTGTTTCTCTCTCTCTCTCTCTCTCTCTAATTTACCATTTCACGTTTTTTCTCATGCTCTCGAATTATAACTGTCTTTCAACTTTCTTCTGTATAAAATGGTGGTGGTTTTTTTTACACATATTTGTATACACATCTATATATATATGTATATTTCTCTTGATATATTCTATATATAAATATTTTATATATTTCTCTGGTAGTTGGTCAAAAGCTTTTGATTTTTTTTTCTACGAGTTCTTTGTTCGTTTTTGTGTTCACTTCGTCCGAGGTTCTGTTCGATTTTTCACGAACACACGGAGGTACGTTTTTTTTTTTTTAGTAACATTTCACTTTCTGCTTGGCTGCTACCTTTTTTCTCTCTCTCATTATGTATTTTATATCACAAGGTTTTTTATGACAGCATGCCGATATCTCTTTCACCACTTTCTTTCGCTCTCTTCGACTGGGGGTTGTACGTGGCTTTTTCTGGGGGACTTCGATGAACGAGAGTCCTTGCGACTCGAGTCACTTGTGTTTTATGTAATCTTCTCTTTGTTGTGTCATTCAATCGAATTGTTAACAGGACCACCCTACGTTGCCAAGATGTTGTTTGTCGATTCGAGGGAAAAAATTTATTTTAGTTACGGTTTCCCCCCCCCCACCTGTTTTTGATCAACAGGTTTCCATGATTCTGTTGTTTTTTTTTTGTCCGAATACCGAACAACCTTTAGTTATTCTAAGACAGAGAAAGACAAAGTTCACTAGACATCTTATTAGAATAGCGCTTATCCCCTGTCACCGATTCTGCTGACATAGTCGCGCGACTGGCTTGTTACACCTGGCTTTCGAATCACAACACGAAAATGGTCGATTTCCAAACGGGAGAATAATAGAGAAAATTTAGCGACAGATTATTACATGGATTGTAGAGAAGAAAATTTCACAAACGTCCACACGTATCCCTCGGAATCAGAGAATCAAGTGTCTTAGAAACTGTAATGAACAACGTCACAGAATGTCTATGTCTTCTTTTAACACTTTTTTTTTTTTTTGTAAACGATCTATCCAATCGATTCACTTTAATTGTTAGAACGTATCGAGTTGTACGGGAGAATATTTAATGATACATCAGTCTGTGATAAAAAAAATATCATCCTTTTTAAAAATTATTAAATATTAGAAAAGGGGAGATATTCTTTTCCAAACCTATAGAAATCAATTCCTACAGAGCTAGAAAGTCAGATTCAAAGTTAGTTGAGTTAAAATTAACAATGTAAATGAACAAAAATCGTTTTTTCTTAATCGACATCTAAAACTAAGCACAATAGATCAAAGAACGACGTGATATTTGTTTTATCATCGAAAGATCTATCGCTCGACTTCCACGCGATTCGCGTTAGACATCGAGAGGGGGTTAGAAAAGAGAATTTCAATTTTCCGAAAACGACAAGCTTCCCTACCGGATGAAAACAAAACAAAAACGAAAGATCATTTTGTAAATTTACTCACGAACCTAAAAATTGACGGATGTGAGTGACGTGTTGTATATGGCATTGTGCGCAGGCCCGGAAAAAACGGCAGGAAGAGGTGGAGAAGATACGACTGGAAGAGCAACAACGGAAGCAACAGGTAATCCTAAAATCGTTGTTACACGGACCCTGGTTTCACTGTGGTTCTACCACCCCTGACCCTGCCCCTTCGCTAGTTAAAATAAAAATTATGGGGATACCACTCTGCGTATTGTCGTCACTCTGTCGAGTGTGATTTAGCAGTAAATTACACTGTTAGACTTCATGCTCGATTCACACTGTACCCACGCGAATATATTTAATTCTATTTACAAAAAGATATTCTTTCGAAATTAATTTGATGTAGAACTAATTTATTTTATATATATATAATTTTATTAGGTTGTGCGGGGTAATTATATGGGGATTTTAAGTGAAAGTCTAGCAAGAGTAAAAAGAACATTATCTAGATTAATTCTTCACCATTAAACCCTCAGAACGTTCCCTTTTATTCGGTAAATTTTTTTACTGTTTTATAATTTGTTCGATTCTATTTAAAAGAAAATCCTCTGTCCCTGTTGAATCTACAAAATTCCTTCGACGTACTGTCTGTGGTGTCGGACAAATCCAAATGATGTGTCACGAATGAAAAGTTACGCATTATCGTTGAATAAGTTGGAATAGCTTTTGCTATTTGTGTCGAAACTTTTGAGCTGTAGGATACATAAATTTCATGAGTAAGAGGTACAATCCATAGTTGTTTCCGAACAATCTAGAATTTCCCGTTGTTTGATTGGCTTAAATCTTTCTGTGGATGGAAGTTACTCGTACCGTTACGACAAACGATGACGATAAACTCTGGAATTAATTCTGATTTCGCAGGAACGAGAGCTGAAGCGGCAACAGGCGGTGATGTTAAAGGAACAGGTGAGTCCCATTGATCACGGATCCCCTTAGATCGTGTCATTGCTGTAGATTAGACGGTGTGCGTGTGTGTGTTCCGTAGAAATATTAGCTTTCGTTTCATTATCTCCATCGCTTTCGTTCACATCGTATCTCGTACTAATCTATACGCGATATCATTAAATTCCGGCTGGAGGATTTCATACGTCTCTTTCGGTACCAATTTGTAACGGTTATTATTATTGATAATTGACCATTAACGGGTTCATTATACTGATTCTCGATATTCTGTCTTCACTTGAAAACATCAGTCGTTCTTATTTTTAAATTTGCATTTACCAGCCGCGTTTGTTGAATTTTAAACATAACAAAAATTAAGCTGTACGACGGTAAGGAGATCATGATATGACATTTCAGTTCTACTCGATTTTATCAGACTCTCTTACCCTTTCGTTACCGTATCTCGTTTCTTTCTCTCGATTTTGTTCTTATAGATACATATATGCTCTGTCGAAACTTCTTTTACACGTTTGCTTACCGTTTAGTCGTTGTTACGTGTTTCCTTTTGGTTTTACAACGTAGATATTGTGTTGAAACGAACGGAAAGTGTTATTTCGTACGTGAGTTTGAAGTAGACGAAAGTTTAAAAAAAAAAAAAGAGAATTGAAAACAAAACGGAACTTTGATGAACTGATTCGAATTTTTGTGAAAATCTTACAACCAAGAAAGTATTCGTGTACGTTCCTTTGAAAGTAACAAATTCTGGAAGGCAATCGAGAAAGAAAGGATATAATCGTGTCACCTTGAATCTTTTCAATTTGAATCGACGCCCGCAATTTGGTATAGCAATCAGTCCCGTTAAAGAGAGCGAGAAGTTACTTGTTAGTCTGAGCGTAGAGGTAGTTCGAGCACTGGTGGACTGTGGATGTGTTTTGTGCCGCAGATGTACATGCAGGAGCTCACCAAGCAGCGCGAGATGCTCTACACCGTCGAGCTGGTATGTCCCATGCCCAATCTAGTTTAATAATACAACCCCACTAAACGGAACGAATCGTGTTTCACGAACTTTAAACCGCTCACAGGCTTCTGGTCGTTGTCAATCACTTTATATTCACTATCTATCGATTAAACCAACTGTAACAATCGAATATTAATTACGATTTTCTAACACATCCCTTGAAGTAAAGTGATTAATGGTTTAATCCATCGACGGTGCATCAAGTTATCGATAATAAAATAGAGCTTGAACGATTTCAAGCGACTAACGTTCAACTGTGCATTAATACTCGAGACTTATCTGCACAGAAGTCGATTTTTTCGTCGAAGATACGACTTTACTGATCGACCTTCGACGAACGAACGTATTTAACGATTTTTGTATTATAGGCTTCGTTTGATAGAACATTCAGTTGTTGTTGTTTGACAAACAAGATGTATTCTCACGTTTTCATTCTTTTGCATAGTAAATTAGAAGGAAGGAATAGAAAAATGTGAATATATCTTTGTTATCAATCATCAAAATTTCTGAACATGTCGGTGAAAGAGTTTCTAACAATTTCTATTCGAGATTTTCACGATCAGAATTCTCACTGCTGATGTTGTTTGAAAGAACCTCGCTTTGAAGCTTCCTCAAACAGCGTCAACCTCGTTAACATCCGCTTTTCGAGATACCCACGTTCACTAACCAGTTCCGCGGTGACAATACATGTTCGTGACCAGTCATATGCATCGTAGGTGCTTCTTTTCGCTTTGTTCACATCGATCAGAGTATCTCACGTTATTAACGTTCTAATATTCGCCGCTTAAAAGATTAGTGGAATCGCAAGTAATTCAATTGGCTCACGAAAAAAAAAAAAATCGAGTTCAGCATTGCCCCATTTAAACAGTGCACGACAGTGTTTTCGAACAATAGCTACGAAAACGTTTGTTCCGATGGATAGACGCGTGAAATGAAAACCAAAAACAAAACAAAAAAAACACGAAAGTCAGTCGGTAACTGACGCGAATATTATTGGTGTAGCCGAGAAACATCGAGGAGTGTTGGTTGGGTAACAGTTGCACGACACTTTGAATCAAAAGAAAATCGGTTTTCAGACGAATCGTTACATTGCATCCGTGTATACATCACTGTCATGCGTAGCTTCCTTGAAACGTGTATTTGGGACGGTTGTAGAGTTTGTCGTAGTCCGTGCGTGCCAAAAAGTTGTGCTTTCGAACGAAAATATGTCACGAGATCTCTTCTGTTAATGCTGCATGAACCAACTCCCCCCTCGCCGTCCGTTTTGTTATTCTTCACCTCGTTGAATCGTTTCGCCTGGGTACCCTTAGGAGAGGGAGAGAAGGAGACAGCACATGGCGTTGGTACGAGCGTTGGAAAATCGTCGGAAGATGGAGGAAAGGGAGAAGAAACGGCTCGAGGCGAGGGCCGAACGAATAGCATCGAAAGAGAAACGCGCTGAACAGAGGAAGATGGAGATGGAATTGATCGAGCAGATCCGGAAACCCGTCGAAGACATGGAGCTGACAGGTACGTGTTTCGAAACCTGCCTGGAAAACATCGTAGAATTTCTACAGCTTGTTTCTTTTCGATTTCAGATCACAGACCACTGCCAGAATTGAAAAGATTACCTGGACTGAAGCTATCCGGCCAAGCTTTCTCGGACATCGTCATGGTGTTCGAGTTTTTGCATAATTTCGGCGAAACCTTGGGCTTTGGTAAGTGTCTACAGAATTACTGTCCGCATTAACTATCGAAAGACAGTTTTTCAACATTTTCGTTCATTATTACGTTCGACTCCACAGACATGGACTCCCTGCCGAGTTTAAAAAGTCTTCAGCTGGCGCTTCTGAACGACGAAGAAGCGGAAGAAGAGATGCTCTCCGTGATGACCCACCTGCTTGTGTGCGCCATAGAGGATCCTGGTATCCCCCAGCCAGCGAGACATACGACAGGACTTGGACAAAGCCTGCGACAGGCGGACATAACCCACGCGAACATCAGCGAAGTATTACGGATCTACTTGTACGCGAACGCGACCGGCGAGGTGAAAGCATTGACCGGTGTATGCCTTGAACGGGAACGCGACAAGAAGTTTGCCGATCATCATCAGAACGGTGGCGACTATCCGTCCACCGGTTCGGGGAAGAACGCTCAATTTTACGAACACCTGCACAACAACGAGACCTGGAAGATGTCCGAGAGGCTGAGGGACAAACCGTTCCTCGCGCTTAACCCGACACACAAATCCCAGATGCTCGCGTTCCTCTGCAACGAGCTGCTGCAGAACAAGGCTGTGATCAGACAGATTGAAGGAAGCTTGGAGACGGTGGCTCAACTTAGGAAGGAGAGATTCGTTCTGGACACCAAGATCAGGAAGTAAGTGTAACGTTTGGATTTAAAGTATAGTAAATACTCTGGGAGTGTTCGAAGGCTCCTTGGCACTGAATATTTAATAGTGCATAAACTAATGGCCATATTAAAACAAAAAACCTCATTAAAAGATCAGCGTTTCACCTGGAGACCTCTTTTTGACAATGTCGAAGAGCCTTCGAACACTCATAGAGGATTTTCTGTACCGTCAAACTTAGATCTAGGTTCTGACCTAGGAGATTTCAAAAAATATTAAAATGTGGTTCGTTTACAGTTATGTTTATTTAACCTTCTTACATGTTCATAGACTCAGACAGTTACACAGCCGGAAGGTCCGAATGGAAGCGGTCGGCGTGATCGTGAACAAAAGCGGCGATACCATTACCATAGAGAAGAAAGAAGTGGATGAAGAAGGTAACACGACGTCGACGGCTGTGGGAACGACACCCACTCCCGATGAAATTCATCATGAAGACGAGGTGGAAGACATGTCTGAGAACGAAAGCGAGGGAACACAGCCAGAGGAGGTAAGATCGTATAATTTTTGTATTTTCCTGACGCTATTTTCCATGAATTATACCGAATTTTGCTTTCACTTCAGGAGGAAGACAAAAATTTATCGGGCGAAGAGCTAGGCAAGAAACTGGATAAGCTACTGAAGCAATCGGAGGAGCAGCTACAGAAGCTGAATAGTTCCTCGAAACAGTTACGAGCACACATATTCGGCCAGGACAGGTACTGGAGAAGATACTGGGAGCTGGCATGCGCGGGCGGCATCTTCGTCGAGGCTATGGAGAGTGCTGAACCGGAGATCCTCGAGCTGCAGGCGGAATTGGACGAAAAGTACAAAAACATGCCGGTCGACGAGAAACCCGAGACGAAGCAAGAGGACACCAAAGGGAATTCCGAGAACAGGGAGAACGAAGCCCCGAATGATGTGAAAGAGGAGAAGAAATACAACATGAACGATCAGGAAGCGGACGTCAAGCCGTACGTAGAGAAAATGAAGTGCGAAGTGGAGGACGTTAACTGCAAGAAGGAACACGTGCAGAATTGTGGTTCGGAGAATTCAACGAATATCAAGGAGGAGAAGAAACACGAAATGGATGGTATGACCGACGCCAAGACTAACGTTACGTCGGAGGAAATTAAGCAGGAGACAGAAGTGGTCAACATGGACGTGGACGTAAAGGTCGAGGAAACGAAGAAGGAGAACGAAGATACGGACGAGGACATGAAACCCGTGAAGATGATGGAGGATAAAATCGTCGAGACGATTCCTAACGGCGACAAGTTCAATCACATTAACAATCTTCATAACGGGAAAGAACTAAACGGCACGTTCATTTCTAGTAAGATTCCAGTGTTCATCTTTTATATGAAATATTCTGGAACGTTGTTGGTAAATTTTGTATGTTTATTGTTAACAGATAACAGCAACGAGTCCAATTGGTTCTCGATCCTGCCACGCGAGACTTGCGACACTCCAGGGCCGAGTACGAAACAGATCTTTGGGATCGCTGAACCAACCGAGCTGAGAATACCAGTTTTCCCGCCACCGGCCAGTCCGAATTACGACAGATGCGACAGTCCAGCGCCTCTGATCCTAACCCAAGACGAGGCGGTGCAGCTGGAATACTTAAAAGTGCACGGTCTGCCGCCTCCTGGAGAAGCTAAGCCTGTATCGCAAGGTAAAAGTCGTTACACATCAACAACAAATTAAATGAACATCAACCTGAACATTTTATTAATATACTTCGTTACACATTTTCAGATTTACGATACGGTTGGTGGAGAATAACGGACGTTGATACATTTCAAGAGCTGTTGGAACACCTTCATTCTCGCGGTGTTCGCGAAAAGGAATTAAAACGTACAACGTGGGCGACGATGGAATCGTTCCTCGCCGTCACAGGCAGAATCAACGTTGATCCTGGCAATTTCACCGCCACTGAACTTCAAGCGACACCGGACGAACCCGACACACCGATTCCGAAACCAGATAACCCAGAAATTTGGAGCGAGCAGGTCGCGTTACGTGTTGACGCGCAGCTTTTGGAGCAGGTCGAGGCTCTCGAGGACAAAGTTGCCAACGCCAGCATGCAGGTCAAAGGCTGGAAGCTTCCTCCGCGGGCGGGAACCGAGGAGGCTGAGGAGATTGAGAAGCTGAACGAGATGGAGAAGATCAGTGCTGTCGAGCAGGCACGGCAGAGGTTACTCTCTTTGGAAGCCGCGATAGAGAGGAGATACTTGAAGCCACCACTGGGCGTTTGGTAAGGACTTTCAGTATCTTGTAGAAACATCTTTAGTATTGCGATGACGAAAAATTCGTGCATACTGGTACGGGGAATATTATAAATTGACTGGTACATTTTGATATTCCAGCACGGGAGATCCGAACTTGGCAGCTCTGAAGGCGGAACAAGCGGCGGCCGCGAACGCGAACGCGAATAACTCGGATCAAAGCAACCAGACACCGGCGCCGCAAGAGGAGACAACACCAAGAGGGCTGAACAACTGGCGCGAGGCGACAGCTCGAGCCCACACGTCGGCTCAGCTCGCCATGGCGCTATACATGTTGGAGGCCAGCATCGCCTGGGACAAGAGCATCATGAAGGCTGTGAGTCTAACACCAGCTAGAAACTCGGTCTGCGTCAAGCTACGAAACCGCTGCGTCTCACTCAAAGCTACCAATCAGTACAATCAGCTATTGACTACTTCTCAGGCCTCTGTGGGTATTCGCACTAACTTACTAACCAAAGCTATCCTAATACTTTCCTTGCGTAAACTATCGCCCGTCCCGCCACAGTGAACCACAGAGAGCATATCGGTTTTAATTGACAAATTGGTATCACGAGACTCGTATTCTGAAAGCTCGTCAGTATGTTTTAAATTAAACGAAATGCTCTTCGCGTGGCACTTCTCTATATTGTACATCTCTCTTGGCATCGAAAAAAAAAAAAAAAAAGAAAAGTTTTATATAAATCTATTCGCGGGTGCGAATAATTGCGGCAGTTATACATATATATTTATGAACATTATAATTTGTTTGTTTAAAATTTGATCGATGGGAATACAAGCGTTTATGAGAATTGTTTGTAACGATGCGACGATTAAGGACAAAATGATGTAATTAATACATCCAAATGGTGGTTAGAGTTTAACGTAACGGTAGCATGCCCAATGAATACGCCGCTTGCCAACTACTAATTTTTTCCTTTAACGCTTCGTATTTTTCCTTTCGTAGAGTTTCTGCTTTCATATTTATTTACTGTAACTGCTCATCCTGTCATTCCATGCAAATTGTTTATATAAAATGATTTATCATTTATGCAACTCGACTACGATATGCGCCAACATTTAATTTGAACAACATGGAACCGAATTGCACGATAAGATGTAAATGCTTTGCCTTAGTTTTTTTTTTTTTTTGTTAACCAAGGTTCATTTAAACACCTTACTTTTCGCTTAACCCATTTACTTATATTCAATTGTACCACCCTGTTCTTTTACATTAACATTAATTGCATCATTTGTAAGTTTTAATTTCAAAACGCTTGACTAATGGTGCTCAAACATTGAAAGTCTCTTTGGTTCGATCGACGGCTATACGTGCCTCTCAGTATTAATATTGGAGATTTGTATTTTATGTTACAGAACTGCCAATTCTGTCACAGTGGAGATAACGAAGACAAGTTGCTACTGTGCGATGGCTGTGACCGTGGCTACCATACTTACTGCTTCCGTCCAAAAATGGAAAACATTCCTGATGGTGACTGGTGAGTAATTGTATGCTAGTTCACTTGACAGAGTTGAATGATATTTGAGACGAATACATTTTACAATTATTTCCAGGTATTGTCACGAGTGCATGAACAAAGCAACAGGAGAACGAAACTGTCTGGTATGTGGAAAGAGAGTTGGTAAAAACTTAGTGTTATGCGAACTCTGTCCACGGGCTTACCACACCGACTGTCACAATCCTGTAATGCCAAAAGTGAGTCGCATCTCTATTTAACCATTTCAGGATCATTGTCTAAAGTGAAGTACGGTTAGTTTAAAATAATACGATTGTTACATTCGCTTATGTATGCCGTACTTTCAGATGCCAAGGGGAAAATGGTATTGTTCTAATTGTCACAGTAAACAACCAAAGAAGAGAAATAGTAGTCGAAGGAGTCATACCAAAGGGGGAGGCACCAGAGAAAGTGAAAGTTCTGATCATCCACCAGCTAGGTGATTACGTTAAAACCAAACAAACTTTGCCGACTCGCTGGCTTAACAACGTTGTTTCATACGAATGTACAAGTAGACACAAAACAGAACACACACTCACTCACACACGCACATACATAAATACAGCTGCCAAGCTAAACCATGATTTTCAAGCAACGAACGCAAATGATGAACGAATAACTTCCAATCGAATACGAACAATACACAGTAACGCTTTAAAATATGAACGAATACATACTATAATGCGATATTCTACCGACTTCTATATCCTCGGCCCGTGTCGTACACTCGTCGAAATGTTGTTGTATGGAAGTATTTGTACCGTATACAGGGTGTTCTACGATATGTTAGCCGTAGTAACGCTTCCACGTGAACGGAAACACACCGATAGAGGTAGGCTTTTTCCTCCCCTCGTTCGAGCGATATTCTATGCCCTGTGAATGAATAAAAGTATATCTCGTGTCAGGTCCGTTCGTGGGGACACCCTGTACCCTCGTACAGCGTATGTTGCTTTAAACGATCATCGACTATGGGATGGGTATTTTCTCAGAGAATACGTCGTAACGGTGTAGAGCTGGCCTTCAGCTTCCTAATGATTACTCGAATAGAAAAAAAAAAACGTACACTAACCGAAACACGGCGAAAAGGGCGAGAGGCGGAAAGAAGGCGAGACAAAAATAAACCGAGAGACAAAGAGTGTCAGAAAGACGAAATATTCCAACGAGAACAACGTACCCGTCTCAAGCAGACAAGTAAAATAACAAAAAAAGTAAATAAATAAATAAATAAAAACCGCAAAAAAAAAACTAAAAAAAAAACACGCTCGAGTCTTATGCATTCGTCCAGGAGCTTTTATGCGAAAAAACGGAAACAAACCTCCTGCAAAAGAGAAAGCTAAGCTAATCGTGCAAATAATTTCTCTGTTGTTTTGCGTCGCAGTCCAACGCCGTCAACGGCATCGAACACGCACGTAGAGGACGTCAGTTCGTCGGAACCGGCAACCCCTACCGCGTCGCCACGGAAGGAGGGGAACAATAGGACGCTCACGAAGAAACAGCAACGAGAGTTGGCTCCGTGTAAGGTGCTACTCGAACAGTTGGAGCAACAGGACGAGGCCTGGCCGTTTCTCTTGCCGGTGAACACCAAACAGTTCCCGACCTACAAGAAAATCATTAAAACGCCCATGGATCTCAGTACGATCAAGAAGAAATTGCAGGACTCCGTGTAAGTTGCACGCGTACCAACGACTACTACCCTAGTTAACTAAAAAAAACTTGTTACTAAAAAAAAAAAAAAAACAAAAAAAAAAAAGTCAATTCAAAAAAAAGCTATATAAAAAAACACACATACACCCATCTAAGATCTCTAGCAAGCTCTCTAACTTGATCCCGTCAATCAACTTCGATCGACAAAAAAAAAAAACAAAACAAAACGGACCAAAATCCGAAATATGTTCCAACGAGTGCTTCTCGATACAGGTACAAGTCTCGCGATGAGTTTTGCGCCGATGTCAGACAGATGTTCATCAACTGCGAGGTATTCAACGAGGACGACAGTCCTGTGGGAAAGGCCGGTCACGGGATGCGCAGTTTCTTCGAAATGCGTTGGACCGAGATTACCGGGGCGCCACCACCGCACCCGCAAACGCATAGCTGAGGCTCGGTTCGATCTCGCAACACCTGCAACAGTTTCGCCCACTTCTACTACTAGAAGAAGGGGGTGCGTAGAGAGAGAGAGAGAGAGAGAGAGAGAGAGAGAGAGAGAGAGAGAGAGAGAGAGAGGCGCGCCGCCCATCTTTCTGGAGGAAGGAACCGCGTACCCGCGGGGGAATCCGTGTCGAGGACAAGAGAACTCGGAAAACCCTCGTGTTTGTTTGTTTGTTTTTTTTTCCGCACGCGCGCGTACGTCGGCCTCGTTCTAGCGGTCGACCGGAGAATCTAATCTATTATAACTGTGTGTGTCCATAGAGAGACCATCCGTGAATGGCGGAACAACCCGTTGCGCGTCATTTCCGCGCGCCCCGTGAATTGCGCGTTCGCCCTCCACTCCTAATACGAAGGCCCCGCGTAATCGACACGTACGCGTCGTCGTCGCTTCTCGCATTTCACCCACAACTTTAAAATACTCGAAAACTAATTCCCACACACATACACACATATACCCTATCCTCCTGCGTTAGCGAATCCTTCTAAACGGATCCGTGCTCTCTCCTCTTCCCCGTAGCGTTCGACGAAACAACGCCCTACCCCTCTCGTTTCTCGCGCCAGTCTCCTCGAGAATTCACACACACTCACATACACACACATATACACACACACGGTCCAGAATAATATGCTTCTGCCGAGCGAAAAATTCTATATTTAACGAAGTAGAGGGATATCGTTCTAGGTAATAAGGGTGAATAACCGAGAGACGCTTTTTCGTGGGATTTAGACACGCCGGATAAGGGCTGGCCGAAAGAGATTTTAAACGCGCGTAGAAATTATTACCGTTCTTTTTTGTGATCACACCGACGCGCGATAGTGTCCTCGCGCGCGTCCAGACCACCCCGTTGAAAGCTCTACAGAAGAGCTGTTAAGTGTGTCGGATTTTGAAATAACGACGATGGTCACTGTACTTACCGGGAGAAGAAAACGTGTAAAACTTTTTGCCTAAGCGAACGGGGAATATGTAATTTGCGATTGTATTATACAGGCTTAGTGCCGAGGCGTCGGCAAAAGAAATATTTTGCAAAAGTAATGAATGTGAACAGAAATGAGAAGAGGCATATTCGTATATATAAAGCATATATATATATATATATATGAATATGAATGTATAAATATGAATACAGTGTACATGTATACTATATTAGATAGTCCCACGTCACACGGAACAATTTGCAACACTCACAAACACACGTTTTGAGAAGAACACCTTTTTGCCCGCGAGAACATCATGCACGATGAGGGTAACATTTGCTGCAGAGTAAGATACAATAGAATGACGAACGATGTCAGTCTTCTAATTAAGGACCCAAGTTAAAATGCCATTCCACGGATCGTTCATCTTTTTTTTTTTTTTTTTAATTCGTTTTGTCCCGGTATACCCACAGTCACAATTTTCTTCATGTGTCATCCAGTACCGGAATGATATTCGAACTTACTCGACGAAAATTAATACATATTGTTTACTGTAGTCGTTACATGTACGCTGCAACCTGAAAAGCATACGTTGGTTCTAAGTCATTATTTTATTCACTGCCGAAACGAACTTCCTAATTAACGAGAAACGCGAACACCGGAATCACGAACCTTTGCGTCAAGGACGGAAATTTGCGAAACCTCGAAATGCGTAGACCTCGATGAACCGTGAATTATTTAATAGATACATCCGATACTCCCGACAGATGCGGACGCCATTTCTTATGCGACTTTCGTTCCTTCATAGATGTACTTCGACGATTAACTGAATTCTCCCCCACGGGATTCGATGTGTGTCACGTTCGAAAGCAATACTAAGAAATTCAATTACGAACTTAACAAGGACGTTCATAAATAGACGATCGTGTTTTTCGTTCCTCCAATTACGAGCCCAGTTTTACCCTCCCCCCCCCCCCGTGGCCATCGCGTAGGTGGTATCACCGCGATGCGTAGGTGTTTATCATCGAATTTTTATTCACGTCCGGGTGCTCCGCGGCAGGAGAAAGATCCTCTCCCCCCGTTATTGGAATGATTATTGTTCGCGATAGCGTGAGATTTAAAAAAAAAAAAAAAAGCGCGACGTTTCGATTTCGACTAGGAACTTAGTGTAATGTAATTTCACGCAGTGTACCCATGGGTGACGAACGATTAGGGCAGACTTTTTAAATGGTATAAATAAATAATGTATCGTGCGTCAGGGGCGTTATAAGGAACACAGCGGCTAAAGTAACGGAACAGGAGAACGGGTGTCGGTAGTAATATCTTGGATTTCTAATTAACCCGCGGTATACCTTTTTATGTAAGTGTGACCATCGCGCGCGACAACAAAACTGATCGACAAGAACCGTTAATGATGATATCTTGTTTTTTATGTAATTTGATGTACATTATTGCTCGTAATAGCGGATAGTTATATAATAACGAAGATTAAAGAAACAGACGCATACCGAGAGAGCGAGCGAGCGAGCGAACGAGAGAGAGAGAGAGAGAGAGAGAGAGAGAGAGAGAGAGAGAGAGAGAGAGAGAGAGAGAAAAAGAGAAAAATAGGTTCGACCGTAGTGATTGTACTAAACATTCGTAGTATGTAAAAGTATTAGCTAGATTATTAAAAAAAAAAATGCCGCGTGAAACGACTACGAGATAAATGATGATTATGATGATTATGATGATGATGATGATGATGATGATGATGATGATGATGATGATGATGATGATGATGATGATGATGTTGTTGATTAAAGAAACACTGCAGGGTGCGGATGGACACACGCGGAACGAATCCACCGCCGTGTGTCGTCCAGACGTGTGACGGAAGAACGATCGAAGCCCGGTGAGATTGTAACGAGTAAAACGCGCGTTTCTTAACGGTAATTGTAATTGATTTGCGGATTGCGACGGGTTTGACGTATGTATACTTTTTATTCTTTTTTCAATTGTACTTCTGCGAATCAGCGATCGTCGACCGAACGCCTTGCTTCCACCATTCACGGAGGACAATCGTTAGTTTCTTTCGTAACGATACGCGACGAGACTGCATTGATAAATATATACATATGTATGATTTACCAAGCGCGATATCGGGGCATTTCGCGATCTCACCGGATGTTCTTTGGGTCCACGTCCGAAAAAAGTAAAAAAAACGAGAGAGTATGTACGCGTGAAAAATGTGTACGTCACTTTATGCACGCCTTGCACCCTCGTATTATAGCCGATGCATTAGACATCTTCATACATTCAGACACACCACCACTACCACCCACCACCTACCACAACCACCTACAACAACAACAACAAGAACAAATAATTTTTTAAGATTCAATTATTATTTAAATAGTACAGTTACATTGTTAGTATGAATAACGACGCTTTTTATACGAATTTTAGTTTTTAACGTCGATCTTATGGTATATTATATGGTATAATGATAATGACAATGGTAATAACAATAACGATAAATGATATCGATAATGGAACAGATTAAAGAGAAATGGAGAGCGAGCGTAAATGGGACAACAGAGAGAACGGGGAGCACATGGGAGAGTACGAACGGGAACGAGTGAAAGCGAAAGAACGTGAAAAAGGTAATCGAACGACAGAAAGAGAGCGTGTGTTTAAGCTAGATGATTGTCTATAGTATAAAACGAAGGCATACGTTAGGTAGCCTCGATGCTATTTAAACAGACTTAATTAATGTATTGCAAATGAATTAATAAAGTGTAAGCGAAGCGTGTATCTGTACAGTGAAATGTTTCTTTCTGAGTTTATTTCGGTCGGCTGGCGCCGATTAGGAGAGAGAGCTTTAATTAAGGAGTTCCTCGATTATTCGAAGTAATTTTGAACAAAGTTAAACGCTCCTTTTAATAACGGTTCGAAAAGGATTTTTTTTTTCTTTATTTAAACACTAACTTACTGTATTGTGGTGTTAAAGAATTCTAACTGTCCGGATATTTCTACAGACTAGTCAGCTATTTTGTTTCTCTTTTTATCGAAAGGAACTATGTATTCTTTAATCTCAATACTTCTAGCTACATATCCATTTGATACTTTAATTTCCGTTAGTCTATTCTCGTCTCTTTTGAAATCCACCAGAAATTCCTTATTTTGCTAGTGATAATGAAAGGAATCGCACGTTCAGATTTTCCGCGGCCGCCATATTGCTGCTACTATCTCTATCAGGCTACTCGAAGAGCGCACTCTCGTATAAACGTGTATGTGTATGTGCACACGGTGACATGTGATTTTAGGTATATATCCAGTATTTGCGCCGGCAGAGAAGGTTAGGAACGTTATAAGCCGTAAAACGTTTCTTTTTCCGCGTTGTCTGCCACGAACGATTCATCCGAAAATCCTTCGGGTCAGAATGCGATGACGACGTTCAGCCATCTTCGACGAACTGCCAGTAAGTAAACGGTTTTAACTGTTGCCCGACTCCGATTTGGGGACGACACATAACGTCAGCTGACTCCAATAGAAGCTCGCTAAACAAAACACAACTTGCGAACTGTAACATCGGAGTGCAATGTACTCCAGAATATTTAACAACAACGGTGCAACCGAATTATTGACTTTCTGCAAGTCTTCCCTAATTGGAACATCGTACAGTACTTTGATTCCGTCAAGTTTATGGGGCGAAACAGTTGGCTTTGCAAGTTGAAAGATAAACGTCTAAAAGACAGATAACAAAGGAAGTCAACTTTTTTTTTAAACGTTTAAATTGTTTATGCGTTTCTCTTAGTATACAGGAGTTTTGATTTAAAAGACTATTAAATCAGCGCAATTGCAATTTTTAATGCATAGTATTCGTGCATTGTAAAAACTGGATGTCCTTGCGCTACTTCGTCTGCGCTACATTAGTACTAAGAAAAAAAAAGAAAGTGATAAGCACGGCATAAATTCTAGGAAAGTGTTATCTATTATTGTCTAGTTTAAAAAAAGTGATTCTTTTGTCATTTAAAACCATATTTACGGTATTCAAAATAATAATCGTTTTATAATTATGGAGATCCTTCTTATTTGCAGGAACTTTGCAGTTTTTACAACCCTATAAGCAGAATGTTCATGGCGGCCTTCGGCAATTCCTACGGAATGAATCGAGTTTCGTACCGAAGCGTGTGCTGATCGTGAGCAAATTGTCACGATATTATTTCGAGAAATTGCGAGAACCAAATCTCAGTGAAGCGGAGTTCAAAAAGAAGTTGCTAGAAAGAGGATCCGACTATGAGACTATGCTGGGTAGTCATATGGAAACCAAAACTGTGCAAGACCAAGTCATTGAAGTCTTGAAGAAGATGAACATAGAATATAGATTAATAAACAGGTGAATGTCATTCTCGTTTATACTAACGTAAATATAATATGCTACATTATTCGTTATACAACTACTGACGTCTTGCAGGCAAAATTTAGAGCTATCGAATTTTACATGGGCCGACTTGATTCTTCCGATTGGTGGCGACGGCACATTTCTGTTGGCGTCGAATTTGATATTCGATAATAAAAAACCGATAATAGGTATTAATTCTCATCCGGGAGGATCGGAAGGTTACCTTATGTTATCGCCAAAATATACGAACAGGATACCCGATATTTTTGAAATGCTAAAAGCGGGGCAATATCGTGTTTTAATGAGGAGAAGAATTCGAACTACCCTGAAGGGGGATGATATCTGGGAAGCACCTTTCCACACGCATGAAAAAGGTCGCGTTGCAGGCGGCGAGAAGTAATAAAATTGCATCGTTTTGTTTTTAACATTAACGTAACAAATTTAAATGTATTCATATGTGGTTTCTTTTCTTATTGTTTACAGATTCTACACGCACAATTTGAAGGAACAGACACCAAATAACTTACAAAAAGAGAGACGTTTACCGTGGTTAGCATTAAATGAAGTAGGTTTTGTTTTCCTTTTGGAATTTATGCCCGTTTTATACATTCGTGAATATTAGAAGAATTCAGTTCGTTTCTTAAATAGGTTTTTATGGCAGAAACGTTGTCGGCCAGGACAAGTGACTTATTAATTAAAGTTAACAATGATGAGAAGTACCACTTGGTAAAAAGCTCTGGATTATGTGTTAGCACGGGGACAGGATCAACATCCTGGCATAAATCAATAAACAGTGTTAATCCACAGATAGTCAAAGAGATATTAAATGTTATTAATGAAAAGAGGCAGTTTAGTAAGGAGGAAATTGAAAGTATTTGCACGACTTTTAACAGTAGTTTACATTTCAAACCCGGTAAGTACTTTCTATAGAGGAGTTATACATTTGATTTTAACTACTTCTTTACCATTTCAGAGGAACCAAAACTCTGTTACGCTGTAAGAGATATGATAGTGACTGATATTTGGCCAGTGCCGAAGTGTTTGAATTCCCGTGGATTTTGTACAAAGTTAACTGTAAGATCACAGTGTTTCGACGGTGCTCTAGTTCTTGATGGTGGGATTGCCGTACCATTTAAATTTGGGACAACTGCGGTTTTGGAAAGTCACCCTGGTGATTGCTTACGATCATTAATCCTCCTAGATTGAACATAACTTATTTCTATAAGAAATGAACTTGATTTAGATTAACGACGTCTTAACAATTTGTTAAGAGATAGTGTAGGATAACTACTAATAATTTGTTAAGAAGTAGTTTAGCATAAGGATCAACAAAACCAAAACATGCAACAGTACTACTTTTGTACCTTATAGATGTTGACCAATAGGATGCTTTCAAAGGAAAAACAAAGCATTTTTAATATAAAACTGGCATTTAAGTTTAGCTGAACACATGATTTTGCATTTCAGTTTGTGGACAGTAACAGAACCAATGTACTAATTGTATGAAATATAGATCGATTTTTATAAAAGCTTATATTACATAAGAATAAAGTAACTAAACTACTGTTTTATGACTTTTACATACACAGTTACTGTTTAATATTTTGTTGATATTTATATTTCCATGAAGTTCCCTTCATTATCGTCACAGTAGATGTTAACAGTATTCGGTAATGTTGAACACTACACAAGAATGCTAAAATAGCCTCGGAAATCTATCAATGTACTATTGTACATAGTTGCATCGTTAGTCTTCTCATAAACAAAGTCTACTAACACATATCTAGCTCAATATATCATACAAAAATAGTTTAGCAACTGTAATATCTGCTTTATCAGAGAAATATTTGATAGTATCAAGAGATGGCAGCTTACTTGGTCTATCACATAGCGCCGCCATCACTCGACTAAAAAGTTCACACGCTACTCGCGTAGATAAATTGTTATATTTGCTTGTGTTTACCCCTTCTTTACAACGAAAGTCGTGATATTAGTGGTACTTTAAAATTTTATAAAAATCTTCCGCAAAGTGTGTTCAACGGAATGATGCGTGAGTGTGACATGTTAACAGTCGATCCTTCACCAACGCGATTGGATTTATGAGGATCTACAGGATCTAAACGGTAAACAAAAGTCATTAATTATATGGCACTTTTTTTCAGAAAAATTAAACAGTGTAACGTTCTTTCTTCGAATTACGAACACGTGCTGTTCTTGACACTTCGTCATGCAAAATTAACGTGATCAAGGGTTAAAAGAACTGGACACATTCTCAAATCAAATGGATCGCTCTGTAGCCAAGTTTAAGGTTAGAATAGGAGCTATGGAAGACATTTCGTTATCCGCATCACGGATAATTTTCTTTGTTTACTGATAATAAAGATACAAGAACCTTTAATAATTGAATGGAACGTATAATGTTTCTGTGAGGGATGGCGCTTTGTTAGTGTTAGTAAGGTCATCGACCGTATCAGCTGTTGCGTTTCGTGTAATTTTGGAGCTCAACATATTTTGGAAAAGTTTTACTTGCACGAAACTGGAATTATTATTTCGACGAAACACATATCATTTTACATTATTTTATAAGGCCCAAAGAGAATTTTACACTGTGTTTTGAGACAAAGACTCTACTTACTATGAATGAAGTCATGCAATGACTACTGAAATGATTAATTTTATATTTGTAAAGAGATTCATGTGTATATGTTTGTACGCATTTTTAATTATTTATTTTTCATGCTATTCATAAAGACGCAAAAATTATGCTTTTTTAAATGTTAGTAGTCCCGATTGCCCAATTATCGCTTAGGATAAAATATATGATTAAGTACTAAAGACAGGTTTACGAGCGTTATATATATGTATATGAATATATATTCGAATTCATTCAGACGTTCTTTATTCTTCTCGGATATCAAAAATTCATTTTTGAACTCGGTTATCGAAATATTGAGCTGTAAATAATCTCCATTCTTTGTTGGTATGTGTCATCGTAACTCAGTCTATGTACTTGGGAATTGACGTATTCGTTTTTTATAATAGGTATTTAGCATACATTGTCCCTCTTTAAGTCATCAAAATAGGCTTAAAATTTAACTTAAAATTTATTATCATCATCATATTCGAGACGTTGCAAACGCGTCATGTAAGTTGTGATCGTATCTATCGATGTATGTATTAAAACCCCGCGTAGAAGTTTTTTTTAAACATTATAAGATTACGCATGAATCAACTATTTACGAAAGATATGGATTATAGTGTGAAAAAAATTGATTATAAAAGATACTACGTGTGATGAACAATGTATACGATTTATAATCAGATTAAATATAAATACATATAAATTATACTACCGTGAAAATATTTTTTTTAATTAAAATCTACAGTATAATTATAAGAATGTACTTCTTGAATTTATGTCCTTAAGGAGTGCAGTTTACCGTAAATGATATTAAAAATATATGAAAAAAAGCCCATACTTATGAGCATGAAATTTGATAAAATAAAGGAACTGTAGTTAACGAGAAATTTGTTAGGGAACATTAACACGATCAATTATCACAATGAAATCCGTGTGAGTGTACAATAATAAAAAGTAATGTAAACTATGTTATCACGTGGCGATATTCCTGGAATCGCAACGTGTCGAAGTGAAGCTTAAGGGGAGGGCCGATAAAACAAATCGTTCGTTCGCTCTCTACACGGTTCAATAAAGAAAATAATAACATTGTTTGTACTCTGGATGAATTTCACAGTAATTTTTTCAAAGCAATGTACGTAATTGATGTATGTTTTTAGTAAAACCGACATTGAACATCTGAATGATTTCGTATAAACGTCATCCTATAAATCGAAATTCTTTGAATACACTATATAAATGTTAACAGTTCTCTGTTTCATGAAGCGTTAATAACATGTGACATGCAACAAAATCTTGTGTCCTCAAAAAAAAAGACGAACAAAAATTGTTGGTAATTGTCATGTTATTGGGATGTATCGTTTCGACGTAACGTTATTATTCATGTGTAGTACTACTAACCCGTGTGGTAATTGTTACTTTTCAGGTCGTCATCACGGATATCAGAGGAAGGCACACTGGTAGAATGGCAGAAGACGAGAGGCAAATTAGAGCGGCCGCGGAGACCTTGCTGAGCGGATCTATAAACTCTCAGAGGAGTTCGTACACTCAGCAAAGTATAACGCGAACACCGGATATCATTCTCAGCGAGGATCTTATCGCGGGTGCAATGCAAAACGGGAGGATGTCGAATGTCAGGCGTTTCTTTTGCCTCTTCGTCACCTTTGACCTTCTGCTCACTTTTCTCATGTGGCTGATTTGCACGATGGTAAAAACCCGCGAATTCGAGCGACGTGTAAAATGAATTTTCACTTTATCGCCAGCACTACCGAAACTGTTTGTTTATATTGTTTTAACACTTACTCGAAACTTCTTCCAGATCGCCGGCGAGAGTCTGGAGTCCGCATTCAAGAATCAAATTGTCCATTATCACATAAAAACGTCACTCTTCGACATTGTGGTAAGTACCTCGGGAGAGCGAAACGCGGCGACGGTGGCTGCTGTGTGCTCGACCGATGATTATTCATGTAGCTTGGCATAACTGTCCCGTCGTTTCTCGGGTATAGAGAATTTACGGATTTCATCTTCTCAGATGTCAGCGATTTGTAGGTTTACGGTCTTGCTGCTCTTCTATGCGATACTCCATCTGAAACATTGGATCATCGTAGCTGTAAGTAACACGGTCTTCTTAAACGCTTGCTTTCTAAAAACGAAGCCACGGGAGAGATTATTGAGAAATATACGTTGTATCGCTTGTTGTAGCTGACGACTGCCACGACTTGTGCCTTTTTAATCGTCAAAGTGTTTCTTTTCGACGTAAGTATTACGATTTATCGAGTGTAAACGCGATTGTCATTGACACGAAACTTTATTCTTAGTGGTCAACATGCAGTCAACCAGTATTCCAAGTTCTTCTAATTCTCACATCTTTTGTATTGCCATGGGTGGAAGCTTGGTTCTTCGATATCCGCGTGTTACCACAAGAGACACAGGCTAGAAATTGGTTTAGAAGTACGAACTGTTAGAAGTGTTTTTGTTTTTTCTTCAAAATGTTTACTCGAACCTGAAGGATGCAGACAGAATTTTCATTGTGTTCTAGATTTCGCCGGAAATGAAAGGGAACCTCTTCTACGGGGTATCACCTCGGAGTCGAGGCAGTACAACAGCGGCGAACCTATCGGTAACTTTTTTACTCCAATAGATTCTCCTGATCACTCTGAGAACGAGTATGAATATTCGAGAAGACCAGGGGGTTCTAAAAGTTTTCCGAAATCCAACGATATGTTGGTGACTAAGAAACTCACGCCCGACATGGTGAGCCAGAATGATTGTGGAACGATGCATTGTTATGTGTCGACATCGGTGCATTCATTAAAGTCTCTCACAAGTAATTTCTTTTGGATTTGTAGATAGATGATTATAAACGAAAAGCATCTGTATTGGTGCAAAATTGCCATGAATTATTACAGTCTAATAATTGGCAAATTGAAAATATATTGTCCAATGGCGACATTATCTTTTATATGGACCGTCCTAAGCCAGAAGGAAAAATATTAAAGATAATGGTGAGTTTCAGTGAGACTTACTTCTATATACCCCGAGTACGGAGATAGTTTTATAAAATGTTGTTATAAATGTTTTTAGGGAATCGTTGACGCCCCGGCCAGTGCGTTTATAAATCTATTATACGACAATTTCGAGTCGTCACCGACATGGAATAAACTGATTACAGAGTCCAGAAAAATACAAGTAATATTCTTCGTTTTCAAGTTTCTAGTATTAATCAGAACCAATTATTTTTGGTATTTATTTATTGATTAGCATATTGACGACAACACGGATATCGTTTACCAAACCACGAGTCCTCAAGGCGGTGGTATCATTAGCGCTCGTGATTTCGTTATTTTAAGACATCGTATTCAGTATGGTAACTACTACATTACTGCCGGTACGTCGGTGCCTTTTTCGTCATTACCAAGTCAGACTAACGTCGTCAGGTAAAGTTATAGAAATGAGTATCTTTGAGATATCTACTATTCCTTTAACTCGTTACCACATCATCTTAATGTTTTAAAGGGGTGAGAACAACGTAAGCTGTTGGGCTGCTGAAGATTTGCCCAATGAATGGAATAGATGTCGTTTTACATGGATCATCAATACAAATTTAAAAGGCTGGATACCGCAAAAAATCATAGATAAATCGATGTCCACCGCGTTGATAGACTTCATGAGTTACGTGAGGAATTATGCACGGGAAATGCAAAAATTTTTCGCCTAGCGCAAGATTCGCTGTGGTAGTCAGACGAAGAAGCAAGGTCTTTCATGAACGTTCTGTATAATCGTGTGATTTAAAAAAATTTCAAATTTTCTAATTGCAATTTCTTGGTATCGAGAGAAACCCAAATCTAGGAGAAAATCAAACGCAATGTCTCTGCAATGTTTTCCGTGTGCCCTACGTGTAAATGTATATTAGTGGACACTAAGTGATAAAGAGTGGCGGGATCTGTAAACGTATTGCGTTTAGGAGAGCCGACAGACTGACGGGAAAGAATAGCGAGAGACTTTTTCTACATGCGTTCTGTTTCGTAAGCAGAAATTATTAAAATTAAGAGATACGCGCTATGTATAAAAGATGTAAAAAATAATTAATGTTTTATTTTCGATGAAGTTATATACGTGTATTACATTAATACAGACATTTTATGCAGGTGAACGCGCAACTTTTTGGGTGACAAATGTTTTGTGATCACCTGGAAATAGGATACGGTCGAATCCCTTTTGTATTGTATATTTGCCATTCACTTATAGTTAATCTTACTATTACGAAATGCAGTATATTTGACCATCAAAGTTAGAACCATATGCAGTACTTCTTGCATTTAGGATGTCTTTATTCTTCTATACAGATTCGTGTACATCATGTGTACGTCTATCATTCACTGTAATCTCAGTTCCTAAGAAAATTTATTAAATTGGAAACAAAACGATAATGAAGAATATGGATTTCAATATTCGTTTAATTAAGTATTCTGTATTTAAAGAACTTCCATTAAATTGCCATGTATATACACAAACGTGTGTCAATAGTTAAGTGCTTCATGCTTAACAGAAACAGTCACGCGTTTTGTATCCATACATGTTACCAAATGCAAATATCTCTTTTATACTTTACTATTGTTTTAAATGTTTTAATCATGAAGTCATTCAAATATCATGTGAAAAGGTTCCACTATATTAGGAAATTTATAAAATAATTGAAGAAAGTGAATGTATAATTAGAGGTATAACAAGAGAAAAGGTTTATATTATTGAACAGAGTAAATGAAATTTACTATACATACTGTTAGCAAAAATATCTATATAGCTATATGTATAAGTCAATAGTCAATTTTTTCATTTTTTATTACTGTATAAAGGTTTATTAAATTTCTGAAAATATGTATTTAAACGATTTTTCTTATTATACTGTTCTTTTCTTCTCGTTTCTGATAATTGCATAGATTATAGATCATACTCTTTGTTATTATGAGAATCAATTTTTCCTGCCAAATGGTGATGCATGGGTTGTGGAAGAATGCATTTGATATGATATAAATTACAAACAATAGAATTCGCTTAGAGTGTAATTACATTAAAATGTACATATGAAACATTTTAGTAAATTGCGTACCAATCTATTTTGCTTGCAATAAAAACTTTGCTAATAGTGCATCTACTAGTGCATTTAAAAATTAAATTAAGGAATGCATTTCATTAATGACTGCACCAAGCTTGGTGTTGAATTTTTTTCTATTTTAAAGTAAGTCCATTCAGAGTAAACATGTGAATGTTTATGGCTACATCTACCTTTGTATGTATGTATCAATGCATGATCCGCTAGTCAAGGTATTGTTGCTTGCATATTGATTAGCAATGAATTAATTGTGTGTTAAATCCCCAAAATTAGGGGTCCAAATAAATCACGATCTTAAAGAAACAACGATCGTATCGATGACATAAATATCTATTAATAATTGACACAAATGTGTCTAATTTTATAGAGCTGGTCTAAATAAATAACAATGCTTGTACGAATTGATGTTGATTTTATGAGGATAATAAAACTGAGGAACTATATTTTCTTAATGAATTTTGTGAAGTCCTTTTACTTTAAACACTTAATGCGAAATTGCAATGTATTTAATACAAGTTTCTTTCAGTGCCACTGCTATAAAATACGATGTCATTATTTTGCCAATATGGCGGATCTTAAACATAGATAGGAACGTATCTGTAATTAACAGCTGTATTAGTAGCTGTTTACATCGATGTTCAAAAATATTCAGTTCATAATAGCGGTTCTCTTTAAACGTGTGCATATTAAAAACTAAATTACGAAGCATTACCTGTTATTCACTTTATCTAAAAGTAATCCTGCAATATTTTAACAACTTTCTATTTACTGTCACCACACTGCAATATCAATTAAAATTCGTAAGAAGAACATTAACGTACATGTGAACGCGGACAACATGGTTTGGTTCATGTTAGTTTCCCGCGTGACTCCCAGCATGTATTTGCTGTATACCTACCGGTACGAATTGCACTGGACCTGTGCATATAGTTCCCCTCTAAGTGTCGTTGCATATCTGCACTGCAGGGAACGATATTTTGATAGAATCGCACACTTCTGATATGATTTCATCATCAATCTCTCTACCCGTTAACAACTTGACCGTTAATCGTTGTACATTCAAAATGCAAATACGCAACGACATCTATGGCTTCTTTATCTGTGCAAACACCGTTTCTAAATATTTACCTTTCTCTCACGGCGCTTATAAATATGTATACGTCATATGATTGGAACATTGTAATCCATTACGATCCACCACTATCACCTCAGAAATTGAATATTTAACAGCATCGCTGTCACGTAGCGTTAGTGGAAAAAATTCAAAGTTCCACGAGCAGAGAGTGCTTTTCCGCGAATAGCTCCGGGGACGAGGGAGATTTCAATGATCGCGATGTTTACATGTAAATAGGATCGTTGACACTCACCGAGTTTCTTCAGCGTTCCAGGAAGTGTTCCGTAAACAAAAGCCCACCGTTGTTTTAGAATATAATTAAGGAAACACAAAACGAAAAGCCGACAAAGTTGGTAGAACGGTCTACACAGTGCGCACGCATTACTGTGACCAGTGATATACGATCAGTGGGACAGTCGCGTAGAACAGGTGGCGCTAGTGAAGGAACCACGACCGAAATCGCGAGAGTCAGTTAGTCGGTCTCGCGCCTCACGCGTGTGCATGTCTGGTTTTTCGTGGTTCGTTCATCCGAATCGGACGTGTTTCGCGTTCCTGGTCACGTTTTCAAAACGGACTGTCAACGTTCGCTGCGACGAGAAATTAATTTTTCTTTCATCGTTTAAATCGGTGAATACAGTCTGCATCTCAAACGGAGTGACACCGGTTCAGGACGATGCCGGAAACTTAAGGGACGCTTCGGAGCGTCTGCGACAAGATGATGCAGAAATGGTAAGTACGAAACTATCTTTCAAGTTCTTTAGTTCAAAGTTTACTTCATTAAACGTTTGAACCGTTCATCGTTTGACAGTTAGTGTCTTTTTGTTGTGTTCACATTTCTTCGAGGAAAGTTCGTTAACGCGCTGGTAGCAAAGTTTCTTTACGTTGAATTCTTTTAGTCAATTGAACAGCTGAAACTTTTATTTGTTTAGCCTGTGCGATATGTTTTTCCGTATCAATGTTTCTGGTTCTGTTTAAGTTCTTTTTAAGTAGAAAAGATATCGACTTTTTATAAAATTCATTTTAGCGACAACTTATGTATCGAATTCTTGGCATTTAGAGGGAGTTGTGGTTATGTTTACATACGTGGAAAGTGATTCAATGTTAAAGGGAAAGGATGTCATTGGAAGAAATTGAACGTGTGCTCGCTGACTTGGGACCATATTTTGAAAAAGTAAACTTTTTTTGTGCGTCGCTTCTCCGAGCATTCAATTGAAAGTCGAGTCAAACTTTTTCGAGGCGTATCGGGATCGCGGTGGTTAGAAGTTCATCCCTTATCCTTTGGGCGCGATCCTTTTGACCTTCGCCACACGAACACGCAGTTAGTTATCAGTGTATAAGTGCACGGAGTCGTATAAACGACGACTTGCGGCACGATGCCCCCGTTTTCCGGTGAAAGACAGAATACTGCGGTTTCTATGCATTATCGTCGGAAAAGTAGCGTCCTCCTTGCAAGCGCACTTCCATTCCGAGGTAACTTAGTTTAAAACTACTTCCTACCGCTGTTTCCGTCGAAGAATTTTTAACCCCACGGTGGGGAAACTTTTATCGCCCGGGTTCGTTACAGAATGCCGTGGGTTTAATTGTCGGTCATCCCTTAATTATATATGCGATGGTAGGAGAGGACTTCACGGTAACAAACTTATTTAGGATGAGACGCCATATTGGAATAGGGTTTTAGGATGAAATAATTAGTTTTGTTATCATAGTATACTTAGGGTAAAATTTTGTCACTATAATAATAATACACTGTTGGCTGTTCTGCATGTTCCGAAAATACTGTTAATAATAAATTTATACGGTTCAAAATGTAGATCTGATAATAACGAAACTTGTCACGATTTACTTCCCCTATTTTGAAATAAAACACAGTTATATCATTCTAGAATTGCAAGCACGGTTTTGTAAAATAAACTAGAAAGAGGGAAGTTCAGTTGAATTTCAAATTATAGCTGTTGTTTGGAAAACAGTTACACGGAACGCCAGTGCATTAGCATGTTCTCCTTGATTCAAAGGGCGATTTTTCATTCTGCCGGACATATGCAGGTGTTGAACTAACGTACGTGCAAACAGACTGCATGGTGTTTTGTTGACAGTCGCGTAGACGTTGACCTTTGGCGAAGAAGACCAGAACGGTTTTCTAGGCGTGACGCGGGTTCTTCCAAGGTGAATCGATTTCGCGCGCGCCGCTTCGAAATTTAAATTTAAACATCGGACCGCGCGCCATACCGAAATTTTTCGTTCGGTTTGTGTACTTCGTGCTCATCGAAGTGCAATCGTTCGAGTGAAATCACATTACCATACTCTGATAAAGGGTTACACACAGATTCAGTAGTAACTTTATTCTCTTGAAAGTTTCCTGAATACTTGTTTATCTTGCCGTTACGTTTGAAAATTTCGGAAAATTCCAGTAACCCCTTTTTATTTAACCATTTTGCAACTTCCAAGATCTAGTAAGAATTTCACGGCGGAAACTTGCCGCCCGACTAGAATACTTCGAAGCTGTTTAAACTCTTTCGCGCGACGCAAGATTACACGGACGGCCAAACTGAATATTTATGTAAAATAAGGTTTTATCGAAACCGATGCCCCAGAACTGATGCGAGACTCCTGCTGAGCCCAGCTTCCGTGACGCTCTTGGTGTTCCTAACCGAAAGACTATTAATCCGACGTTGGCATTATTTCAAAAGCAACGTCGGCTTTTCGCTTGTAAATAACCACAGCCAACAGTTCCACCGTGACTTGTCGTTATTTAATAATAACCATTACTCCAATAAGAAATTTGATGAAAGATCCTCTCTTCGAGTCATTTCACAGATACGTTCAACCCTCCCAATATTGATGATTCCGACAGCAATACAGACATCTCACAATCAGTATCATTTCCAATTGCGTAAATATTTTAGATTAACTTCATATCATTAGAACGACAAATGTCGACTAATCACTTTAATAAATTTATACACTAGTCTTGCACAGTTGGTTCAAGGGTGAATAGATCGAACATCTAAGATAAACAGTGAAATTAAGCAAACACGATGAATCAGTTGACGGTTTTTTCCATCGAAAAAGGAAATGCAACTACGCCATTCCGAACCCCCTAATACGTTTCAACAGGTTGTTGATACGCAAGACTATTTTCCTTCCCCTAAATCATCAAAGACGAATGCGCAGCAACCACCTCCCTCGACGCGATATTGTTTTTATTCTGGAATCGGTGCGTTTATACTATCGTGCTACTAGGAACAGGAATAAATGTACCGCACGAATGGAAGGTGATACAACCCCGACTAATTTTAGCCGTTTTACGACTGTTTTGCGATGAAACAAAATTCATGTGAAATGGAAGTTGACGACTGCTCCGGGTAGTGCATCAGTTTGTACATTCGTTCGGTTGTTTCCAGTAAATTGTTGGGACATCTCATCGGTGGGAAAGTTACATCGATGAACACAACGAATCAGTGTATGTTATTTTCGATATTAGTTGAGGATATCAGGGCGAATCTATTGACGTAAGCTATTTCTCAGCAGAAATTCTGAACACAGAAATGAATATATGATAGGAAGCAATAGAGTAATACGAATTAAACTTTATATTTCTTTATTCTTGTTTTAAACGTTACTGAACGGTCGCAGTAAAGTTCTTATTTAATGAAACGTACAGCAATTAATCGAAAGCTGGACAACCGCAGTAACTCCCTGGCCGAAAGATCAAAGGCTTAAGGAAGCACATAAAAGAGCGACGAAAGTCGCATAAAGATTTTATGCACTTTTTTTTCAGCTCCTCTAATCCTTTGAGCCCTCCGTTTCGCCGTTACCCCTCAGAGTAATGTTTAAATGTATCCTCCGTGCTTTATTCACGTACACATTCATCCGTTCCCTCCTCGTAAATCTCGACCCGTGGGCAACGCAAGATACACTTTTGTTCGATTTATACGCTCATCGTCTGATGGGATTTCTTTATTCCTTCGAAAACTTTAAACGCCGAGAGGAAGGTTAAGGTTTCCGCTGGAAGCTCGGAAACTCCTCCCGACGGGTTGCAATATTCAGTTCGGCGAAATTGAATCATCTGGCACTAAATTATTCATACTTTCATCTGTTTTATTTCCATGTCAAACCGGGGAGAAGCGCGCGGGCGCGCGCGAGCCTCCTCACATATTTCTCCTCGCGTTCCGACGGGTTATTAGGTCGTCCCATAAATTTCCGCCAACTTTTTCACACGGACACTTGGATCAATGTCTGAAACGTACCTTTAACTTATACGAAAACTCATAATCACCTTTTTCACCTCGAACTTCTTTTCTCCATTCTCGTTTGACGTTCCGTCTCCAAGTTCTAAATACTATCACTGACATTGCGACTGGAGGTATACCTAATGACTTACTATTCATTTCCGAATACAGTCACGAATCAAAATTTCACCTGAAAATCTCGAACCAATTATTTTTTATACGCACCATCAACGATTGTTACCGAACACTCCGGGGACCAAGGGGATAGTGGAAAATATCCTGTTGGGATCATAAAGAACTTTTTGAATGTCACCCTTATTTTATCCACCTCCCCGCGTCTTTCTTTCTCTTCCTAGCTGCTGTTACATTTTTTCTCCTCTTTCAATCCCCACCCCTCAGCCAGTATCGTCCCCTCGACAAGGTCAAGCGACCGTGGAGTTTGCGCGTTTCCATAGCGACGCACAAGTTTCGGTTTACGTGTCGCCCATTTTCATCCCTTTTCCGTGTGCTAATCGCGGCTTCCTTCGCACGTTTCGCCCCGTCGACGCACCGACGCACGACCACGAAACCATACGCAATTTCCGGACCGGACCCCTCGCGATCCTCTAGCGGATCGTTTGAACGGTACCGCTGATTAACATCAATCTCGTGTTTATCTCCTTGTTTAGTCAGGATAAGGGGGAAGAGGGAAATGATGTTTGCGTTGAATTCATGAGGCGAGTTACCGTGTGTCGCTACGGGACTGTTCCTCTCGGTTCGCTGTGACTGGCTTTTGTGCGGCTGCTGCGGACAAGGAGTTATTGCACAGAGTGTTGCTGCTTGTACAGGAGGCTTGTATAAGCTGTAGTTGTCCTTTTAACAGTAATTATGCGTATGTTCCCCCAACAGCGTGTTCCCATGATATTTGTATTACAATTTCGTGTTCCACTCGTAACGGTGTATCTTTTCCGGATGATCCTTGCAGTGAATAATTTATGATTACTTTTTATGGGCAGGATACATTATGTTCGTTTATAAACACGGTCGTTTTTATCCCGTCTACAGTTTCTCGAATTCTGACGTCAAGTTCCGGCGAAGAATACGGCGGGAGGCACGAAATCATTTTATCGGACAGAAGCTTCAGAATGTTCCTCGAACAATTGTTTATATAATGAAAACAGACAGAAAATTTTTTTGAACATCCATTAATTCTGAGATCAAATGTTTCTCACAAATATTCTTATAAATTTCCTTAACGAAGCAGTATTTTACGGTTGTTTTACATTCTAAAACATCAGCCTAGTATGAATCTTAAATGTTATTAACGAATAAAGAATTTACTCAAAAGAAGTTTTTCAATTTCTTCTGTCGAATATTTTTCCAAAATGTGGGGTGGTGGTGTTGTCGATAAATAGGGTGTTTTTCGAAACAAGACGGCCCTTTCAGGCCTCATTTCCATATCAACAATCGCTGTTCCACTTTGATGGCCGAACTCAAAGCCTTCAAACCCAGGGTTCCATC